CAGTGATTTGTTGTGTAACCATGGAGTTCTCGATAATATTTGCCATGAAACAATACATTTTGAGACTAACCACAAAGGCCCAGGTAGACCTGTGGGTACCCGGGTCCTACTCAGTACCCATCCGACCCGAGTTACCCATCCCAGCCCTAAAGTGTAGTTATTTTACATAAACCACTAGTCTGAATTGAGCTGTGGAACAGTTGGATATGAACAATGGTGACTACCCGATTGATTTGGAGAAATCATCAAGACCCCCCTGAATTTGGAGTGAGTGAGTGAGTTGGGTTTAACGCCGCTTTTAACAGTATTCCAGTTATATCACGGCGTGTCAGCTTAATGTGGGAGGAAAGCCCGAAGTGATGCAGGTCTCAGACGTTTTTCACTTTGGTGAAACCCACGAGCACAGGTATGGGCCACCTGAAATAAGGGCCTGCCCGCCAGCCCAGGGCTGGTAATTTTTTTGTCGGGCTACATAAAATTTTCCGCTACCTGCCTGTCTGTCTGGCAGATGATTTTAAAACTACTTATGTAGTCACATTTATTCAGATTAATTATAGTCATTATCTGGTCTGTCTGTCCGTTTTTCGTTTCCAGAGCATAATTTGAAAACTGTGAATGATTTTTCATCCAAACTTGGTACATGTATTAACCAGGGGGTGAAGTTGTGCCTTTCGTTATTGTGGCGGCCTGGGAGATTTGCCCCTTCTGATGACTCTTGTCATTCTCAAGTAGTTAGTTCTTTGCATTATTTCAACCAAATCAAGACATGATTTGTCTCACATTTTTTCTGTGATTTTTCAATATGTCTGAATGCAGGCAGGTAACTTTGAAGATAGCAGGCAACACTTATGGGTCACCGGCCTTACTGTCTTGTTGGGCTTTCAAATTATTTCAAACACTGGTTGAATCTAATGTTGAATTTCAACAATTAAATATTCATCAGGATAGCAAATTGCAAATTTCTCAACAGGCTAACCTAAAAAAGATCCTAGTTTCTATTTGAAACAAATTGTTTTGTAAGGACTGACATTATCTTTACATCAACACGACCTAAAGCCATAACAAGGTATACTGTATTTGCAACATAACGCCCTGCTAAACAAGCACCCCGTGAACAATTTCTAGACCAATCTAAGGAATATTTTGATAAGCGCTTTACTAGGACCAAACATTTACTTAACAGTCCATATTTTCTGGTGTATATTTGAGATTTTTTACAGAAAGCTGCAGTGTAAGAGGGGTATATAACTGCCTAGTAACCAGTAACTAAACAAATGTAGCATCACCAACATTTGAACCTAGTTTGTTTACTACTGCTCAATCACCGACAACCAACTTAACTTGCTATGTTCAGCTCAATATGTCCCACCCCACAAATGTCTAGGCACCTTGGGCACATCTTAGAGCGAATTCAGTAATTTAAAAAATAAAATAATACATAACATAATATGCCAAAGTGATTATTGGTTATTTGTTTAGTCAAAATACATTCCCTTCTACTATTCTAGAAATGCTTTTCATTTCAGCATTGACCTTTCTAAAAAAAACATAAATATATTTCAAAACTATTTTTCGGCCTTTAAAGAGAAACATGTTCAACACAAAATATTCTAAGAAGCCCACCACAGTGAATCTAACACAACAAAACACAACTGCAAGTAAAACCTAAAACAGTTTCTCTACAAAAGGTTTGTCTTGCTGATCATTTTTCTTCAAAGGTTCTAGTTTTCTCACCATTTCTCGCAATGCTTTCTGCTTTTTCTACTACTCTGACATTTCTGTTGTTCCACAAATAGACAAGTAAAAATAAAAAAAGTTTTTATTCAGTGGCCCATTAACACGACGCGAATCAATAGCAGATCAATGGCCGATTCATCTGTCTGGGCAGCGGGATTTCTCCCATTCAGCTTACGTCTTGAATAAGGTCCATCTTCTGACTGTGGCCATTCACCCTGCGTCCTGTCTACTGGGTCAGAATAGATACAACATTTACATAAAGAACTGGCAGCACATTAGGCAATATAACACACTCAATGTCTGCCTATCCTAACTCAAAAGGAAAATGATGCAGACCCTAACACGTTCTGTTTGTTTTCTATTCAGTGATAAGGTAATACTTTCACTATTAAAATATGTATGCAGGTGTATGTATCTAGTTTTAGATTCTGAATATGAATATATATAATTGTGTATGGTCACTGCTGAAAGAACAATTTTTTATGAAGTGTTTTATCATTAAATATTTATCAAAATGGAAATGTGGTATGAAAATATCTTCTTGCAAATAAATTGATGTGGCTTGAGGTTAATATTTTTGGCCAAAACATGCCATACTCATCACTAAACCATTTGTTTCTTGGGTTAAACGTAGGATGTCATCTAGTTTCAAAGTGCCACATCTATGTAAAACTGGAATAAAGATGTCACAGTGTGTCTCACTGTCAAGAATAGTTGAGGTGTTCATCACAGTTAGGTGTATAGTTGAGGTGTTCATCACAGTCAAGTGTATTTATTATAAGTTGAGGTGTTCATCCCAGTCAGGTGTATAGTTGAGGTGTTCATCACTGTCAGGTGAATAGTTGAGGTGTTCATCCCAGTCAGGTGTATAGTTGAGGTGTTCATCCCAGTCAGGTGTATAGTTGAGGTGTTCATCCCAGTCAGGTGTATAGTTGCGGTGGTGTGCATTTATTACTCTTTGCTTGCAAGACATTTTCACAAAACAAATATATAACATTAATATCATCAAAGGCACAATTGATCTGATTCGTGAAATTCTAGCTCAGCTGATTCAATATTAATTACAAAAGTTTTGTTTGAGCTGCAGCTGACAGAGGTGTTCTTGTGATGGATGACTGCTCACTATCACAGCGTCATGTAAGGCTGTAAGTGTGTGGACAATGGGTCATCCAACACTGAACGCAATAAAATCCTTTAATCATTGGTGTCCAAGGCAAATACAGCTGATACAACATTCTCTTGTCAAGGTGACAGCATTGACATTAATCGCACAACAATCACTACCAATGGGCAATGCTGCCTATTTTCATCATAACAGTAAACAAAGCTAAGACTCCACAAATAAATATTGTTGTCTCTACTGACATGTAGTCATAAAATATTTTTATTAATTATTTTCAGTTTTTTTCAAGAGTCTTAATGATTACTAGTTATAGATATAATACAAAAACAAGGATCATAATTGAGAAGATGGCTTGCTTAGGTTACCAGAAACAAGTAATTTTTGGGGTCATTCATTTGATCGAAACTGTGTGCCTATGACCTAACTAGCCTCCAGAGAGGAACAAGGGAATGAGGTCCCATATTGCTACAGAACCGGTGGGGACGACTGTATGTGTGAGTTCATCGGGAACACTAGGAAACACTAAGAAACACAAGGAACCACCATGGACTAACATACCACCATGTCTGTAAATATCACACAACAAGGTAGGTCTTAAGGACATGTTTCCATGTCAAGGTAAAATCCATCTTCCCCAATCATGATTTGGTCCTACGTAGTCTGTCACTGTTAACGAACCTGCATTAACTTCAATTATCAATCTGATCAACAGTGGGCAATGCATTGATGTAGTGAATCTCTCAGTCATATCATGATGGGGATCCACTTGGGTTCTGGGTTAGAATAGGTCCCCAGCAACCTATCCTGGTGGTAAACAGGCAACCAAATGGATTGGATATCCAGACTCGGTGACTTGGTTGATAGCATGTCCTCATACCACCGAAGGCCTGATTTGTTGCTCACAATATTGTTCATTGAACTGTCTGGTTCAGACTTGATTCTTGATTTTAACAGATGAGTGCTACAAATATGAGTAGTTGGATTCTGGAGTGACTGCCAGATGGTAGAATGTTGTACTGTGTACTGTGCTGCTATATCAGCAGTGTCTAGATGAGGAAAATTTAACAATATTTAAAAAATATTCCAGCAATATCAATTCAGGGGACACCAGCAATGAGTTTCACACATTTCACACATATTCCAAATTAAGCATGAACGTCAAGGTGTCCTTGTCACAACCCTAATGTTAAAAGTTTGAATTAAGGGGTTTCCCAGATTCAAATACTGTAGCAGCAAACCAGGACCTTCTCAAATTTAACACTCAGTCACTGCAAATTATAAATATAATAATCATCATTTCTATCTCAACAATAACGATGATGTTAACAATTTCAACAACTGATCATCTTGACCAACGCAAGACAAGAAATGATCATTACAGATCATACCAACTAAACACAACCTATCACCAGTCTCAAGATCGGATGGCCCGACTCACTGACTTGGTTGATGCATGTCATTGTATCCCAATTGTGTGGATCGATGATCATGATGTAAATCACTGGCTTGTCTGGTCCAGACTTAATTATTTACAGACTGCCGTCATATAACTGGAATATTTTTATTGCTGAGTGCGGTGTTAAACAATAAATAAAACCAGTCTCAAGAATATTCCCAGACTAACATCTAGTCTCTGAAATGAACATATTTTACAGAAAAACAGTTGCTAACTTATAGTTATATAATATAATAAAAAGGAGCCCAGAGACTTTCTTCATTTTCAGATACTGCAGTAATCTAGACTTGCCAAACATTATAGACTTGCATGGGCTGTATTGGATATATTTGTTTCAGGGTCTGTATGACAGACTAGTATGCTTCCCATTTACACTGCGTGTAATGAGACACCCAGGTATTTATTCCTATTGTGAATGCTCTATCACGGATATTCCACATCCATGCAGCCGCCAAACCAGTGACGGGACATTAAACCCCCACTGACACACAATCCCCGGTCCTATTCACCTGTAATATGACCTCCATTCAGCCGATGCTCAGTTAGCTATGAAACAAACACTCCCTCCACAATGCCAGTACTGAGTTGCCGTAATCATTGATTATTTATGAACTGTGACCACGAGATACCAATACCTGGAGCATGGTGAAGAAATCATGCGACAAGTTTAAGCAGGAGAAATAAGTATAAACTTTTTGTAACTAGTAACAGGCCAGGTACAGCAAAGATTAAAGCGTGTATGACACTCGTGAAGCTGCCCCTTTAGACAAAGCTGTTTCTAACAACTCAAGTATGTGCAGTTAAGAGCGGATTATGTCAAAAATTCTGTCAAACTTGACAATCAAAGTATTGGAAATCATTAATCCCAGCTTATTAACAAACGCATTTGGATCAGGCGACTCCTACCTACAAAGCACTGTCAACAGTTTTGTTGTGTTTGACGACTCTAAAAAATAGGAATGGACAGCAACACTGCAAAACATTAACTGTCTGGCTATCTCTTTAATCACTTACCAAACTCTGCATACCTGTCGGACTAAAGTGGTTTATCAGCTAAACTAGTTGAAGTGATAGAAAATTTAATATTTCAAAAGGAATTGGAGATTCATCTGATACCACAGACAAACTCATGGGCGATCTTCAATGTGGATAATGACTAAGTGTATGAGTTTTTATTCAACCAGGGATAATGATATGCGATACACAGATTTGGACTGGACATGACGGGGATGAGATCGTCAGTTATGCTTGGTTGATAGTCCCATATACTTTACAGTTTAGACAGTAATGGTCGAGATGTACCAGGCTCAAGACATTTGACACTGGTGCAACTATCAATGATGAACTTTTCAGGAGAACAAACTGTTGAATGTTAATTATCAAGATGGTCGACTTCTCCGGTGCTTGTAGGTTCTTGTGATAAAGGATCATCGGTGAAGATCAAATACCTGGGCGGCTGATTTGAAACCCTTTTTGGAAATTTATCCCACCTTCCTAGTGAAGTTTGATAGAACGATCAACATGATCACGCAACAAATTGGTATGTATGGCAGATCACTTGCATCTAAATACAGGAAAACACTTAGCGTTTGATCTCAGTTTGTGAAAGTGTCCCATTTTGTAAGCTTTCCTTTGTGCCATCTGACATGAGCTGGTGCCAGTTCGTCATCATGGCAGTGGATCATGTGTTGTTATTTCTGACATTCTAAATACTGGTGTTGTACATGATGGAAGCCACGTAAATGAGGTAATGTTGATATTAATGTAAATGTTTCATGGGACTTTGACAAGAAGGACTCATACTTTACCCAATCTCACCACTCCTTTGGATTTTGTTTGTCTGTTGTTTGATGCCACACTCAGCAATATTCCAGCTATATGACAGCTCAAGTGTGCAACAGACAATCCAGTGATTGTTTGTTTCTTTGTTTGTTGTTTAACGCTGCACTCAGCAAAAGTCCAGCTATATGACAGCAGTCTGTAGATAATCAAGTCTGGACCAGACAATCCAGTGATTGACATCATGACCATCAAATAATGCAATTGGGATACAATGACCTGATTCAACCAAGTCAGCAAGCCTGACCACCCGATCCCGTTCGTCACCTTTTAGGACAAGCATAGTCGCCTTTTACGGCATGCATGGGTTGCTGAAGACCTATTCTACCCGGGATCTTCACGGGTCATCCAGTGATTGACATCATGAGCATCGGAATTGGGATCTGATGACGTGCAGGGCACCAAGCATGACAACCAGATCCAGTCGCCTCTGACAACAAGCATAGGTTGCTGGGCACCTTTGTCTACCCAGAATCCCCACACGTGTTGAATTGAAGCATTATGGTTGATACATATCGTGGGTATATATTTGATTTACTGATATTAGAAACTAGGCAGGAGTGATGTCTCAAACCCTCAAGTTCCTTATCAGTGCTTTTGATTGGTTAGTATGTATACATACCTAAAGGATTTATTTATACAATATTTTAGTTACCAACATGTGAATTGTGTAGCAAAATTATAGTGGCAATACATTAACTGTCTCAAGCCTTGATTAACGATACCCAAGCCTGGACTACCTTCAACTAATATAAATGTAGCTGTATTCCTGGCTGGATTAATGTATATGTAAGCAAGGATTATATCCTACCTAAATATTATCCTGGGAGAAGTTTTACTCTAGAGTATAGTATCCTACCTTAGTGTTACACTGGTATGGGTTCAAATTCACTGGGAGAATCATCCTGACACTAGAGAATTTCATCCCCGGGATACTCTAGAGTATAGTATCCTACCTTAGTGTTACACTGGTATGGGTTCAAATTCACTGGGAGAATCATCCTGACACTAGAGAATTTCATCCCCGGGATACTCTAGAGTATAGTATCCTACCTTAGTGTTACACTGTATGGGTTCAAATTCACTAGGGAGAATCATCCTGACACTAGAGAATTTCATCCCCGGGATACTCTAGAGTATAGTATCCTACCTTAGTGTTACACTGGAAGGGGTTCAAATTCACCAGGGAGAATCATCCTGACACTAGAGAGTTTCATCCCCGGGATAATAAATAGGGTAGGATAATATTCACTCTTACATTTATACCAGGTATACAAGGGTATGAATAATCTATTCCACAGATGTGTCACCTCACCAGTGTTTGGAATTATGGGGCTCCATGAGGGGTCATGATATTTTCTGCTTCATATTTCACCCTATTACCCCCTAAATCTTTCATACCTCCTGGGGTGCAGGGGTGCGCATGCTCAACATTTATTCATTCAGGAATGTTGTCAGTAATTGGGTATATGAAAAGTAAACATATAACATTACTATTACTAACTCATTTGATGATATATTTATAATTTTTTTTTACATGTTTACTGAACAGGAATTGTCACATCCAGAAATGAACCAATCTTTTTAAAAACCACTGTACCCGCGTCTGGTCTTTTGATGTTTAACATTAGTTCCTAAGAACTTTTGACTTTCATTCTTACTTTAAAAAATCTGTCTATAACATTATAATCATTGCTGAACCAATACTGAATATTTCAATTTTCATGACAACTTTCTTTTTTGGTAGGCTTAAATTTGGGTAGAAATGATACTTAAAATTTTAATGGCTCATAAAAACTGTGAACTCAGTGTCACATAAACTCATAAAGTGCGCTACCTTCAAATGAAGCAGACGTACACAAGCAATGCTGATCCAATAAAGAATAATTCAATTTTCATGACAATATTCTTTTGTGGTAGGCTTAAAGTTCGTGATAGAATAATATTTTAATGGGTCATAAAAACTGTGCACCCAGCGTCACATGACCTCATAAAGTGCGCCACCTTCAAATGAAGCAGACGTGCCCAAGACAAGTTATAAAATATAATATCTGCACCAAATAACTCATGGTTAACTTGGAAAGGTCAGCTTTGTACTGGAGCCTTACACCCATGCAAACAGTATAGGAATAACAAAGCCAGGAGGCAATGTACAGCAAGCAAGACCCACACAGCTTTCAGGCGACACACAAAGACCACTGATGACGGACGGACCAGGCGCCTAGCTCCCAGGCAGTGAGGGGTGGTGAGACACACAATAGACTACAACAATACCACCCCTGCCCCCATACCTCCCCCAGGCAGTTCTCCCGGCTGTCCAGACAAGCAAAGAGGGTCACTCTTGCCCCACTGACCAGTGTTTGTTGTAACAATTCACTTGGTTGACACTGGCCATATTATTCAGCACCAGGATCAGTGCTCTGCTAGTGTGAGGTGAGACCGGAGCATGGTCCACTCCACAATCAATGTGCGATTTGAGAGGATCTCTATTCTTGTATACTGTATTGACTGTCATTATCCTCGGTGACAGATGGAGGGCTGGATGGGGTTTAAAGTGTTTGCTAAACCATTTAAACCTGAGTGCTGAGAAAGTGTCCACCATCGAAATAGCTCACTGTCAACACCACGGAGTCAATGACTTAGTTGGCCATGGAGACAATATTTACATTACGTCACCAACATTTTTGCTATGTAAATGGAAAATAATTCTGAGTTAAATATTTACATTTCAATGATATTACAGCTGTCTTATTCATTTCAAAGAATATGGGAATATGATTCAAGGAAAGTTATACCTTCTTTTTCTTATCTTAAAAAAACACAAAGAGAAACCTACTACAGAATTAATTATTACCGGGACAATGCATCAGTGGATTTTTACTTCCGATACACATGATACAAGTTGCACGCTAAGTAAAAAATATTGATTTTACCTTACATTTTTGCTTTTATTAATGTTACACTAAACACTAATTAATAGTGAAAATGTAAGTACCATTGATTCACTAAGCTACTTACTGAACAAAAGACCACATTTTATTTGAAAATTATGATGAATATTGATATATGAGAAGCATTCAAGGAAAATATTTTCTGAAATTCTCATTGAAATGCAGTGAGCATAGTATTATCTGTTCATAATTTTATAAGCAACACAACATCTGTCTATGCCTTGGGGGCCTCATGGACCCAAAACACATTTACGTAAGTCCAAATAAAATCCGAGGACAAACATTTTTCAGCTTTTGGGAACACAATTTTGTCTAAAAAAAATAAATCCCCAGCACACCAACACCCCTGGTCCCAGCTAATATGTCATAGTTGAATAGTGAACCCCTTAAACTCATATCCTCTCTACTTCCCTTGACATCTGTGAGTGTAGATATTGGCTATTGAATACAATAAAATTATCAGTCAGAAGGCCAATATCTCAATAATGACGGTATCTGGCATCCATCTCAATAGTCAATCTATAACCAGAGAGGTTTGGAGTATGCCTGTTGTATAAGAGATATAGTAGTTAGGCTCATCCACGTGTGATATAACACTCACTATTACTAGTATGATCTGTGTGCCTCAAGACTGACACTACCTTATTTGCCATGAGTGGTTTATAGGTTGTCTAACAGATCAGTCGTTACAGGGACTTATAGTGAAAGGAAATGATTATCACAAGACAGAGACGATGATGGTAAACACCCGAAGCAGATTACAGAATAGTTAAGATTGTAATGTCTCTTAGTACACTGACAGTTGGGACTGCTGCCATGTTGCTGTGTCTAACCGCAGTCTGTGTCAAAAGTTTTGTCTATTGGCCTGAATAGTGCTCTTGGCAATATTTTCAGTAGCTTTCAGTGTTATCATATGGATTATTATTAGCTGAGCTTACTATATCAAACAGAATTATACTAGACTCGGTCTTCAGACTGGTGGCAAAGATTTTTGTCACTTGATAATAATAAATACCCAATTATACACCCCTTCTGCACTGCTGTTTTCTGTTAACAAATGTGTAATATTCAAAAGAAAATATGGGCTGTCGTGAAAATTTTCATGTAAATTCACAGGGGTGCTTACAAAGATTACCTACAGATTGGTCGAGGAGTTGGTCAAGGCTCACTTTTGGGAGCAGGGCGCTTAATACACTGAATACAGTATTATGTCCTAGATTAAAAGGAGAATTGGAGAAATAGAGCTAGCAATCTGCCCATCCTTTTTGTTTTTTTTGGTTTAATGCCGCATTCAGCAGTATTCCAGCTATATGACGGCAGTCTGTAAATAATCAAGTGTGCAACAGACAATCCAGTGATTGACAACATGAGCATCGATCCACGTAATTGGGATCGATGACATGCATCAATCAAGTCAGCAATCCCGACCACCCGATCCCGTTAGTCGCCCCTTACAACAAGCATAGTCACGTTTTACGGCAAGCATGGATTGCTGAAGACCTATTCTACCCGGGATCTTCATGGGTAACATGCTTGCCGTACGACAAGCATCCTTCTAACTTGTACAGACAATAACACTACACCTGATAACATCCCAGTGGGGACTCTGCATCAAGTTAGGTCCCAAGTACAGCAAGTACACGTGTTAGACATTAAGGAACATCCTGGGTCACTTGGGGGCACGGGTGGCCCAGTCGTCTAAGGCGTCACGATTGGCTTGCAGAGTTGCGTCCCTTGAGCACGCCAGAAACCTATGATTGTGGGTTCGAATCCCGGTTTGACTAATTATGTTTCTAGGTTTGTCAGCACCATACCCATGCTCGTTGGTTTCACCGAAGTGATGAAAGTCTTAGACCTGCATCACTTCGGGCTTTCCTCCCACATTAAGCAGACCAACGTGATATAACTGAAATATTGTTAAAAGCAGCGTTAAACCCAACTCACTCACTCCTGGGTCCCTTGGGTCTGCTGCTCTTATTTTAACCCTGAATTTGTTCTTAACATTGGGGTTATGATACGGACCCTTTGTGTTGCATTTAGCAACATTCCGTTTTATTAGAATAATCGAAGATTGATTGGAAGGTCCAAATGACCAAGCAATCGAATACAATTTTCCACAACACAAACAATTTTCTCCCCTCTCTCAACCCTGAGACAGTTTTCTTTCTTGAGAAAATTTAATCTCTGCTTATCATTAAGGACATGGAGAGAAAAAGCGAGGAAACTGAGGTCAGTATCTTTTCTGAAACATAAAGTGCAGAAGAGGGTATTTGTGTTTATATTTTCAAGTGTTATTCAGTTTTACTGAGCTTCACTGAACAGCAGCAAAATGTCGCTAACAGATCAGTTTAGACGATCAATCAGTTAGGATGATCCAATGATCAATCACAGTTATTATGACCAATTCCAAACACAAGCTTAATGCTCACTTTCATCCACTGACTAAGCAGCCTGATCAGGATCAAAGGGTCATGACGTCATTGATCTGGCTGACCAGATGTCACTGAACCATGACACCATCAACCTGGCACTAGCTTCTCCAGGAAGCCATCATGATATGGCAGTCATATGTCCGACTGCTGTGTGAAACATTCCAGTCTCATATACACTTGCCGATTCAGGAGTACACCACCATGCTGACATTTCCATGTGACATATGTCAGCACATGGCGACATAAAGCACCTGTAGCACTTGACTTAATCCTTCAGTGGAGAACATTATAGCTAAGCTGTACTTGTAAATCTGTCTCCACTAATCCTGTGTTGGTGTAAGTTCTCAGTAAGCTCCAGCGGTCACAGCTTGTGGCCAGGCGTGGGACTGTGAGGACCGCCAGTCCTGCTCACCAACATGTAGTCGTGTAACCCAATATGGAGGACTGTGGTACATGCTCAGGTCTATGGGAGTATGGACTATGAGTGGGACTTCAATGAGACTCTACCTAGTGATGGGATAAGACATGAGGGTAGGTTACCACTTGGGAGAATATCAAGCAATAACAAGTATTGAACAAACTTTGATGCATCTTGTACAAACCATGACCCTGTGATTTGATATGGCAGGGATTTATCTAAACATTCTCTGAAGCCAATACAGCGACATATCTACAATCCGTCCACTCAAATTTAATGATGTACCTATAAATCGATTAGCAGTTAAAGCCCCATCCACCTCACTCCAACCAAAACAACTATGTGTTTCCTATCTAAGCCTATCCATAAATTGGATAGGTGAGTCATGTCATTACAGTCAGATAACTTGCAAAATGTCAATGAAAGACTATTTTCAAATGAAGATAATAAACCAGCTTATCTCCATATATCCCATTTAAACGTTAGTGGGATAAAATACGGACAAGCCATGATGGTGCTAAAAGCTATGGTTCAACTTGAAAAAAACAAGAAAAAAGGTTTCAGGTTGGGCTCCAGATAATGTCAGTTGAAACACTAGAAACACATATTGGTTTAATTCACCAAATGGAAACCATAAATATCACAGAGACAATGTCTAAGTTTGTTTGTTAGTTGTTTAATGCCGCACTCATTTACAGCTATATGAAGGTGGTCTGTAAATAATCGAGTCTGGACCAATCATGAGCATCAATCCCCACAATTAGGATACAATGACATGCATCAACCAAGTCAGCAATCCTGACCACCCGATCCTGTTAGTCACCTCTTAAGACAAACATAGTTGCCTTTTACGGCAAGCAAGGGTTGCTGAAGACCTATTCTACCCCGGATCTTCACATGTCCAATGTTTAATAAGCACACAGGGCACTAGTTACAGCATCTAGACATTGGTGGGAAATGGAAACCAGACCTGGGAGCATTGTCCTTGTTGATACTTATCTATATGTGTACTAACTATCCCTGTTTCTGTTCCAGGAAACTATTTTATTATGGACTCGGAGCAACTGGTGTCCAACCCATACCAGGAGATGCAGAGTGAGGCCATTGGGGACTATGGCAAGAAGTCCTCTCTTACCGAGAAGTTCACCAGCGTCAAGAACAATGTGTGTGAGAACCACTTCAACATGGCGAGGTCTCAGCTTGAGCGGGAGAAGGACAGTCGTCTGCGCCACCTCCAAGAGAACACAAGTCGGCTACGATATGAAGTGAAGCTGTTGGATCTCAACAGGCGGAAAAATGAGATTGAGATGAGGAAGAGGATTGAACCTCGTCGAGACTTTACTTATGATGATACTCAGCTAACAAAGACAGAGAGACGACTTGGGGCAAACATTGAATCCCATTACCTTGATCGTAAATTGAGGTACCCTGTGAGAGCAAAAGCTGTCAGTGATATTGCCATTACACCTGCCGTGGCCAGGGCTCGGAGTACCCTCAGGCAACAGAAGATGAGGCCAGATTCTGAGAGAGCTGTAACAGCCAAGAGCATCTGTTCTAGCATGACTGTAGATTCATCTCACGTTCGAGAGGGTCGGTCTCGACATAAATGGCCAGCTTCCCGATCTGCTCCTTTGACATCAAGTAGCTATGGTTCTCGGGACAGATCTCATGACAGTCATTCTCGTTTTCCCACTATACGTCAGACCTTTGAAGGAAATTCCTCCCATGATAAACAGAGAGGTTCATCTCAGCACGTAAAGTTTGCCTTTGAAAGTCCCCATAAATTGATAGTCTCAAGTGAAACAGGGAGTTCAGTACATCCTGGTGAACACATGTACCGATCATATACCTACTATGGTGGCATGAACAGAAGACCAACTTTCTACCATGACAGTTCATCAGAAGAGGAAAGTGATGATGACTTTGATTCCAGTGAAAAGATTGACCTTCGGGCCATACTATTTGGGAAATCCCAAAACGAGGACACCATGTCCGTTAAATCTCGCCCTCATTCCGAACTAACCTGCACCTCCCAGGGCTTTGGTGTGAGGCGTTCCCAGGGAGCTCCCCAGCAACTCACCCAGGAGAAGCTCCAGAAGGAGACCAAGGTGATCCAGAACAAGATCAACATTTTCCTCAGACGGCTTGAGACTGATCCTCCAATCAAGAAGAAAGTCTTCTATGACTCTGAGTCTGAAGATGAGCTGACTGAAACAGGTAACACAATTCCATTTGTCGTGAAGAAAAAGAAACCTCCTCCGCCACCACAAGCACCACCGCCAAAAAAGAAAGAAGAAGAAGTGATCTCAGAGGAGGACTCTTCAGACTCAGCTGAGATGGAGGGTTCTGAGGTTCCTGAGAAGCGTAGCACGAAGGATGCGTGGAAGTATATCCGTGGTCACATGGATGATGGGATGCTGCAGGGGACTTACACTGCGGCAGATCTTGTTCTGCAACAACTGACTGGAGTCCTAGTTGGTCACAGCAAGAAACCCACAGTGCCTCTTAACTGTGCAAGTCGAGCAATGAGGCATACAGCCACATTTAAGATGAGAAAGGTTGTCGAGGGCTTGATTGAGAGTCGAACAAAATATGAGCAGCATGAAGTGGATGAGCTGAAGAAGAAGATGGACGGGGATGGGGACGTGGAGGTGCCACCTGCATCTGAAGCCTCTTATACTGATATACCACAGCAAGTAGTGTGATTGACACTGGTTACAAATACAGATATTCCACAGCAAGTACCTTGAACTACACTGGTTACAATACAGATATACCACAGCAAGAAGTTTGAACTACACTGCTTACAATACTGTACTGAATGATATATGACTCATCTTTCTCAGTTGCCCAAATAAGGATCATCAAAACCAAAAATGTACATGCCCAAAGGATACTTATAACATGTTTCTGGCAAGAGGAAAAGTGCCAAATGGGTTATCTACATCCAACAATATACATTCAACATGGTGGCATGGAAAACAGAGTGACCTGTTGAGTAAACAAGTACAGGGGAAAGGCAGTGAAGAGGACAGTACCAAGTAACTTAGTGAAGAAAACACAGACCCAAGGAAAGAAGCAGCAGTAGCTACACAACTGATCTTAGTGCTAAGATGATCATCTCCCATACTTAAACATAGGCTTACGACAGTCGCAGCGCTAAGATCCCTTTGTGGAATGAGGCCTATAAATGATAGTTACAGGATTTTGACTGGAATGAATACTAACAAGTGTGCCTGCCGATCTGTGGCATTATGTGTTGACAGAGGATTGGTACTGTTTGTGTTTACATTGTGGCAAAGTGTTGTGTACATTTCATACAGCTGTACAATGGCTGACTTGACAGGAAAGTGCTTAATATTGAAGTTCCAGTTTGTGTGTGTCTGCTTCAAGTGGTGATGGTAAATTACTCATTTAGTAAACCTGTGATAAAAAATTCAAAACGGAATATCTTGTGTATAACTGAGTGTACAATATTCACAGAAAGCAAAAAGTGCAGGAGTTTTCACTAATCAGCCGAATGTTTGCTGTGGTTGTGGCAAAGAGGACACAATTTATGGATAACAACTTCTTAATTACTGCAAAGGCGACGTTTCGGTATAGATCCTTATACCGCTGTCAAGCAAGGCTGATAGGCTGGTTTCAAGGGGAGTTTGAGTGATGCAGCGGCGAAGAATTTGCAGAGTGTCATCTATGGGTCCTCTGGTGAAGAGGTCTACTACATCGTAACTGATGATTTGATCCGGGTCGGTGATGTTCTTGAGTTTGGAGCAGAAGTCGGTAGAGTCTGACATGAAGGAGTCAGCTGATTTTCCTAAGGGAGGAAGGAGTGGGTGTGGTCTGTGCCCTGTGCCGTATTGTGTATACCAGCTTTCATCAAATGTATAGGAAAGTACCAATGACATCGGATTCAGACATATTGGACTCCAATGTTGACACTGCTTGGAGTCTACACCAGGGTTTGTCAATGTATTTTTTCAGGTGTCCACCAGGCCAAGGACAACAGACAAATCACTGGTCCCACAGAACAGTTGCTATATATGCTGGAGCAATGGGGTAACCCTGTGGTAAAAGCGTTCAGTTGTCACTCCAAAACCTGGGTTCCATTCCCTACATGGGTACAATGTGTGAGGCCCATTTCTGGTGTCCTCCACTGTGATATTGCTGGAATATTGCTAAAAGCGGCGTAAAACCATACTCACTCACTGCTATATATGCTAAAATATCATGTCGGTGTTAAACAATTTCCTTTTACTCTATATAGCAAATATTTGTCCTTTCATTCTGTTAAACATAAACAAAATAAAGAGATTGACACTTCATCTTTTCAATTTGCTGGATTGTATAATATCTGGCCTTTACTATTCTTTACAGACCAGAATATTGGTAGACACAATTAATTACATACAAAATGCAGTCGTAACATCTGCATTTATTTTCTTCCCCTGAACAAAGAAGACACAGTGTTCGAAATTAAAGATGGTCCTGGACGACTGCTGCTATAGTATTTGAATCTAGGGACCCTTAAATGTGTCACTGTTGACTTTAAGTCTATAACAAGGACCCTGAGTTTCAGGCTTAATTTCAAACACTGCAGATACCAGGAAGAGAATTTATGGATGTCAACTTCTATATTATGAGGATGTTACGATTCTGTTCCTCATAATAAAGGTGGCAGTGGGTAGCCTAGTGGTTAAAGCTTGGCTCGTCATGCCGAAGACCCAGGTTCGATTCCCCACATGGGTACAATGTGTTAAGCCCATCTTCCCATGTCCCCTGCCATGATTTTGCTGGAATATTGCTAAAAGCAGTGTAAAACCATACACACTCACTCACTAATAATAAAGAAGACATCCATAAATTCTCTTCCTTATGTGTATCACTTCTAAATGCCTTTCAAAGACTTTTAGACATCATTTAGTATTGTCACCTTTAGTTATAGCGACCAATTTGGATACACTGAAGAAACAGCTCTAAAAAGCAAAATAAAGTTCACTATTATATAAATTTTCTTCACCTGAATTATAAGTTTGAAAGATTTTGCTCAAGTGACTCCACAGTGTGTGTATCTAGACTCAAAGCAGTAAATACACTTGCCAACAGAGAACAATGATGATCAGTATAGATGTAAGAAGGTAACTTTTTCCTTGTTAAAGAACCAAAGCCACTGTCGCTTATTTTAAGACTCGCATCCATGATCTATGACATATTCCTAGATCTATGGCATATTTTCTATCTATGGCGTATCTTACTTTGGCCGTATATCAGTGATATACAAGTCACTTCTCCAAAGCCATAACATTAGTTACCGTATTCAACGTAATAAGCGCCCACGGCGATATTTGCTAATATATTGGCTAGTGAACAATCCCAATTAGCACCCCTTCCAATTGATCAATGTACACAAGACTTATTCATTCGCGTATAATACGTACTCGTGTGATATATGCACCGTTAATTATGGGGAATTAAATTCTGGAAAAACATATCTGTCGTAGATAAACATTTCAGGCTGTCAGCATAAACCACGAATTTTATCTTTCAACTCTGTTTTTTTCACCAAAATGATATTCTAATAAGAGCCTCCTATTTCTAATTTTGAGAGCGCCCAGGGCACTTATTACGTCAAATACAGTATTACAATATTAGCATGAATTGTCAGATTTTAATTCAAATTTGGGAATCTTTCCTGACATTTACTGCAGACTTGGGGCCAAACATCAGCCTCTTAGTAGGTTCAGGTAAATGCTTGCTGGCAAGAGTAATGCTGGTAGCGAGTGTCCTGAAGTTGCCTGTTGGCTAGTCACTGAATGCATGCAACTACATACTGTCTGGCTGTACCAAATCATGCAGCATTAGTCCTACTGTTGACATTGAAATAAATATTTCCGTGTACTCGGTAACCCACATCAGCTTTAATGTCTCCCCACGATAGCTAGCCATCTTAGGTAATGGCAAGAGAAAACTAGTCTTTGTATGTCACATTTGTTTTGTCAAAATGAGATCTGCGAGGGTATTAGGATTTAATTGTTGATGAATTCACTTTGTATTTATTGTTACACATGTATAACCCATGGAAACTGATAGTCAACAAAATTATTTTACAATCTTGGTTGAAATACTTTTTTTCATCTCAAGAGGTATTTCGTTTGCTGAAAATCATAACTTTCACTTCTTTATTAATCAAAAACATGTAAAAAATGTTTTTGGAAAAAGGAAAAATTCCAACAAGTAAGTAATCACGAAAAGCTGATAGACAAAAAAAAGGCTTTTATTTCAGTTTGATAACTGATGGTTAAGATTTCAACTTAACTGTATCACGAACCTATATAAGTCTGGGACTGCATCTTCTATCATCCTTACAAGAAGTATTCAGTTTTAACCTCTATCTTCTTTATGCAAACATATTTAAATAATATTGCTAGGTTCAACAGAAACCTTATTCTCCTTAATCATATCATCATCTTCTGTATATACAGGTGAGTGCTAGTGTAGAATAGATTTTTGTACATTTATACAGGATAAGCCACACAACTGTGATAACTGACTTCTATACCTCTGGAAAATAGTTAAGGATCACCTGTTTGTTATTTTCATATATCTCAAACTTCAATCTATCTTGTGGAAATTTGGACAAATGTCTGATACCACCAGTGCCTGTTGGGCAGGAGACACAAGACAACTGTATGTCTCTCCAGATGGTTGAAAGTGCTGATAAAATTATAACATGTTCTTTTATTGCGCTAGACTCCATACAAAAGGTGCATGCTCAAAGCTCTAACATTATTACCCCCATCAATGGATCAGGGCAGGGTTAGAATTTAACACTAGTCTGCTAGCCCGGGGCTAGTACAAGTTCCTGCAGGCTAGTAAAAATTTCCCAATTTTCCGATTTTTAACATTAAGGGAATTTTATCTTTACCCAGGCTAGTAAAGTTTTTCAGTTTAGTTCTAACCCTGCAGGGTGCAGTCATTTATCATTCTCAGCTCCCTGGGGAGTATACAACCCCAGTACTGATATAAAGAAGTAGTTGAGTCAACTTAAATGGTAATCAAACAACTTCTGCCATGAAGCAAATAAAGTGTGTCATTAGAAAATCAGTTTCGGTTCCTGATTTTCAGTACGAGTATATCACTATGTAAACCAAATAAATGTGTTTTGTTATAAATTCAGAATAAGGATATGATTTAAAAAAACAACCATTTTATATGGAAATATATACCAAGCTGTGCCTAACATGCAGGTATATATATTGCTCTAGACTGTGATACCTACAACCAGACCTTCACATGCGAGATCAATTACATTATTTATTTACTGCATATGTATGTTACATGAATAAAGATTACCTGTTTTATGTCTTGTGTTTGTTAACATAAAAAAGATCCAAGTGTACGGAGGACCATGTGTTGATGACAATGACCAGTGTGTGACAACCATGACATTACGTTACAACAAAATATAAATACACTGAGGCAATTCATCTATTATCTTTCAAAACAACACACATCCTGCACACCAAAACCTGACAATGTTGGCAGGACATTCAGGAAATTTATTGATGTTAAAGTTTCCAAACAAAATAAAATGATGCAACTCACTAAATGCGCCAACACATACATCAAACAGCACAAAGTCTCAATAACATAGCCTGGAGTTTTACGAAGGTGGCCTTGAATGGGAACTGTCCTCAAACAGGGGGATGATGTAACTTACGGAATATTTGTTATCTAAATAACTCTCCACAGCAATTACATCATATCAAATAAAACTAGATGAAGAAGTCCTGGAGTTTTACGAAGCTGTTTTGGGTTTGAGTCATACTGAATGCATATATCTTAACTTGAAACTTTGGGGAAGTCTCACAACACCAGATGTGACTACATGGTGATTATTGCCGACAATGAGATGACTTTAGAGCACAGTGCAATAGCACACTGTGACCTTTAGGCACCTGGAACTTGTTTTAACCCTCTCATTGACACAATGAATTTCAAACCCAGCAACACACAATAAATCACCATTACCCAATCAGTTTTGAGTTGCTTCTGTACAATATGCACAAAGTAAATAAAAAATAAAAATCAGCCAAACAAATTTATCAATTGAAACTGAATCAAGGTTTCAGATCGGACCATTTTCTAGGATAATGATTGTCATCCAAAATGGTATAGATATTTTTAATTTGGGTCATAGCATTTTTTGGCAAGAATGTCCAAGCAAAATTTGCTCAAATCATGTCCTAATGACAATCGTCTCTAGTATAATCACTACTGAATGTTCCTCAGTTGTATTACATCCATACAAGGCACAACAAAGCACCTGAAGACATCCCTGCAAGGAATCAATATAAAGGACAAAACCATGTGGATGCAGACATTGTCACATCTGAGATCCACCCTTATGGAAAGCCAAGTCCCATGGTCGGCCTGGCAAGGCCTGTTTGTCATTAATCACATGTGTTGTGTAACCCCGCCCCAGGGGGTGCTGACGTAAGGGTGTTTGTTCCCCACTGAAGGTGCTGTCTCACTGTCTCCCTCCCAGTGGGGGCCAGGGCCAATAGAGGCTGTAATTTAGGGGGGTAGGGATCAGTGCTGCTGCGTGTCAGGTGGACAATATAATGCTTTTACTGACAGAAAGAACATACATTGAGGAGTCCTCTGTGTAATTGTGAAATGATCACTTCCCTTGGCTTTTCAACTCGAACTTCTATGGATGTCAATAAAGGTTTGTTTTGAAGGGTTACAATAAGCCAATAGTTTGAGATGAGAAGGTCATTAAACAGGCTCCAGAAGAATCGCACTGCTATCAAGCGCAGGATCAGCTTAATGGGGAAAATCTGAGATTTGGTTGCGATTGTGATGTGGTAATCGGTCTCATTAGAGAAATCCTTTGAGTAAATGGAAGTTATTGATGATACACCTTGACACAAATCTACAGATTCCTACAAATGATTGTAAACAACAAACATGTTTGTTTTAAGTAAACTGTGAGATTACAAATATTTCTACAAGGATTGGATGGTCTATTGGAGACACAAATATGAAAATTCTTGTTGCTGAGCTTGTAAATTGCTGAAATGTTAAAATAGTTATTTGACACAGGGCAACTGTATATTGACTTTTCAGTTGCCAACATTCTTTTCACATGCCCCAGTTGTATCTTAATTTCATTTGACACCTTACCACACAATAATGGGGTTGTTTCATTGCCACCATGAACTGCAAGACTTGACTGGTGTTAGGCCTCAGCCCAGACATTTTCTTCACATATGAAATCCCCTAATTTACCTTGCATATACTTATCTCACATTAACATTAACAGTGGATGTTATGAATGTAACATTAATTTTATTCAATGTTTACAAAATAATTCGTCTTCAAATTATTATTTTTATCTTCAAAATTGAGGGTGGTCATGAGATCCTTGAGGATTTTTCCTCCAGTGTTTGACTCCAGAAACCCCAAAACTTGTTCCAACTTCTAAAATGTTTAACATTTGGGTTCTGTTTGTTTGTGTTCTATTAATCAAGTCTGGACCAGACAAATCAGTGAATGACAACATGAGCATCGATCCAACAATACAACAAGCATAGTCGCCGCTTAAGGCAAGCATGGGTTGCTGATGACCTATTCTACCCCAGATCTACACCAGTCTAGTATCTGAGTAATGAAGTGTGTGAAATTAAAGGGGATCCTGGGGTCCTTGAGATTTCATGATGCAATATTTAAATTTAGGACCTCTAAGTCTTTAACTTTTAACACAAGGGTTACGACAAGGACGCCTGACCCACATGGATGTTTCGGACCCTGACTTTAGGCTCAACTTTATTTGTTTGTTGTTTAACGCCGCACTCAGCAATATTGCAGCTATATGATGGTTACTTTTAGTGAATTGGCACATCATTGACCCAATACCTAGCAGCAGTACTGAAGGAGCTGGTTCAACTCCCATAGGTTACCATTAACTTGGACCCTAGTCCGTCTTACAGACCCTGATACAAATATATCAACTACAGCCCACGCAAGTATATAATGTTTGGCAAGTCTAGATTACTGCAGTATCTGAAATGAAGAAAGTCTCTGGGCTCCTTTTTATTATATTTTTATTAAGATAATTTAACAACTGGTTTTTCTTTGGTATATGTTCGTTTCAGAGACTATATGTTAGTCTAACTTGGAACCCTGCCTTATCCTTAATACAGTGTCAACTGGGTAACTGGGACCACTTGGTGTGTAACATGCCCACCTCACATATTGCTACATATCGTGATAGTCAAGTCATGATACAATACGTATCCTGATACTTAATTTGACCTGGGTTTTTTCATGAACTTTTCCACATTTCATGTAGCCTGGCCAAAAAAGGTTGTTGTTTTTTTTAATTTGAATGATGCTTAATTTACACTCATATTAATAGTAATATGTAACAAGAGTTAGTATTTTGTTTAGCAAACTTTGTAAATTACTTTCTGAAAATCGATACAGCTACAACATGAATCGATAACAGGGTTAGAAATTAACACTTGCTCACTAGCCCGGGGCTAGTACAAGTCCTGTGGGCTGGTGCAAATTTCCCCATGGTTTTAACACTGTTTTAACATTCACTTTTTCTATACCTGTCAAAAATACAATAATATCAGAAACACTATGTATTTATACATGGGTATGATTTAAAAACGATATTACATGGCAGTAGTTCAATCAGCAGTTCTACAAACATGGTTATTCTTCAATCAGTTCACGATTTCATTGTCAAAAGCAAAAGATTTGAGTAGCTTTATCTTATGCATATAGTAATGAAAAACTGCATTATCTTATTTCACAGACTTGCTTCAATGTTTTGGCTTCATGTATTTCATTTATGCATTTTGTATATTTATGTGTAGAACTATCTTATATATAACCAGCTGTTGTTACTTCCAGTTACTACCTGGAGAGGTATTTACATAAGCAAGTTTTGCTTGTTTACCGATCCCGATTTCTTTTGAAATAAAAATATGTTTAAACCACATAAGGAGGGCAAATAAAGTTTACCCAGGCTAGTCAAGCTTTTCAGTTTAGTTCTAAACCTGCAGTGTATCATATCGTCAGGTTCATGGATACATCGGTGAATCATGGCACACAGTTGGATCAGGGAGTGTTCCTACCTGGGGCCCAGCACTCCTGTAAGTGAGGTTCACTGTCAGCATTGTACCAGATCAGCTGTCGACATCCATCATACGCCATGGAGAACTCGTCATCACCGATACCGTACCCTTCCTACAATAAACACATATACCTTGTAATGACTGCGGGGATAGATGGATGTTTCACGTGTGCCACAGGGTACTCAAAACGGTGCAAAGTTGTGTGCCCACAAGGAGGTTCATAACTGAGTCGATGTCATTTCACCAAGGCTAAATACACTAGAACATATATATATAACGAACTAGAGAGTTGTGTTTAATGCCGCTTTTAACAGTATTCCAGTTATATCACGGCGTGTCAACTTAATGTGGGAGGAAATCCCAAAGTGATGCAGGTCTCAGACGTTTACCACTTCGGTGAAACCCACGAGCATGGGTATGGTGCTGACAAACCTAGAAACACAATCAGGGCGAACCGGGATTCGAACCCACAATCATAGGTTTCTGGCATGTCCAAGGGACACAACTCTGCACAGCGAATCGCAGCACCTTAGACGACTAGGCCACCCGTGGCCCCATATAACAAACTAAAAGGGCCTGGAGAAATCAGTTTGTTATATACCTTTTCGCTCGGAAACGTCCGCCATCTTGGATAAAACAAAACACAATACACATAATTACAGCTTTGACTTGTATTATCAGTGATAACACCAAAGTTAAAGATGGATTCAAGACAAGCTGATTGATGAAGGAGATCAAGATGCTGTGCTGGCAATGTAGAGCCATGTTACCTGTTGACTTGATGAAGCTAAAGGATATGATGACATGCCTCAACCGAGTTAGCGAGCCTAACCACCCAATCCCATTAGTCGCCTCTTACCACAAGTATGAGGCCAATTCTAACCGGGATCTTCACAGGGATGATATCTTTCAATATTATCAGAATTTTCGGTAAACTCAAAATCTAAAGATTCATGGTTAATCTGTCATGGTAGAATAGAAACGATACCGTCCTAAAAATATCAATTTTGATTTAATAATAGCAGTTATGGGTCAGATGGATTCTGTAATACGAAAGTGATGACAAGGAATATTTAAGTACTTTCCAACATGAAATGGCAGCCAATAGCAACAGGGGAAAACATACAAAAACTAGTCTTGTTTACATGGGAATGCCCTCCCCCTTCACACCTGTCTTGTAATACACAATCAGGTGTTCGGGATTTGGGGATTCCAAACTAAATGCCATTGGCAGGCAACTTGGAAAAAAATCTTTTGTTCAAAACTGAGATTTCAGGGAAATAAATAAATTACCATAACATTAGATTCAATGTAATAATGTGAAACTAAGCAAAGTCTCTTTCCCATGGATCTTCTTATCAGTGATAGCTCAGTCGCCTCTACAAAACTATAAGATTAGTAATATCTACATTAAGAAATTGGGAATTTTTCATACCAATTTGGAATTTTTACTGACATTTGCTTCAGACTTGGGGCCAAATACAGCCTCTGAGAAAGTCTAGATTAATCTGTGTTGTGATCCCTTAGGTCAGGAAGTGATTTATAGGGAGCTTCTCTGTCTCCGTCACTCAGTGTCACAGAGTAGGCTTATGTCATGTGATAGGTCTGGCCTGTTTCGTTTTACAATTTATTGCAATAATGATTCATGTACTGAAATAGTCCCACACTATATTGCATGGGTTATTTCATCTGTAATCTGTTATGAACCTGCATCATTAAACTTGTGGTTCCCCCGGCATATTTCACAAAAGAGTCTGCAGTTGTTTTTTTATCATGTTTTCTATTTTTAAGTCCGAAATGGACCCATACATTTGACGTCCACATTTTTGACAATTTCGTACATGTCTGCCTTTTTGTTGGATGTTGCTATGGTCACAATGCATGCCTAACAGACACATTATATACAGGTAACCGTTCTTCCCTCTGAGTTTTGCTCTTTTTCAATAATTTGAAACAGTTGCTAATTTCTGAATTACCGTACTCAACGTAATAAGCGCCTACAGCGATATTTGCTAATATATTGGCTAGTGAACAATCTCAATTAGCACCCCTTCCGATTGATCAATGTACACAAGACTTATTTATTCGTGTATAATACTCACTCGTGTGTTATATGTACCCTTAATTATGGGCAATTGAATCCTGGAAAAATATATCTGTCGTATATAAACATTTCAGGCTGTCAGCATAAACCACAAAATCTACGATCTTTCAACTCTGATTTTTTCACCAAAATAATATTCTAATAAGAGCCCCCTTTTTCTAATTTGGAGAGCGCCCTGGGCGTTTATTACGTCGAATACGGTACATAATTTCAGTTCGACTTGTAATGAAAATATGCATGGCTTCGAAAAACGCAATGTACCGGTATTTCCAAACAAACTGTGATACGTAATAATTAGCATTAAAATTGTGGTATACTGGCATACTGTATAAGGACCTATACCGAAATGTCACCTTCATAGTTATTAAAGGAACTGGAATACTGATAATACTGCACACCTCTAGTTATGTCACATAACCTTATTGGGTGAATGTTTCGAACTACTGTGACTATATCAATCAAGTTAACAATGCTTCTAATCCTAAATACATAGCAGAAACAATATATTCCTTATACAGTATCCCCCTGTGCTGTGAATGTCTTCCATCAACTGTAACTTGACTGATGTCAAGAACTTACGTGATTGAGGAATTTACTGTCTTTTGTGGCCCATCCAATCTGCATCACGCCTGCCGTTACTATGGTAACCTCATAGTACCACACTCCTGCATCCACTTGGAAGGTACATCTTACGCTCTCAAAGGACGAGGCATCACATCGGGCCTGCGTGTCAACAATCACATCTATACATTAAAAGGTTAAGACAAGATGAAAAAAATGACAGGATGATAGGCAGGACATACATACACATCCCTGATGCATAAATTGATTCAATAAATACAATTACACTGCATTAACTTGAAATCATAAATGTATTACAGATAAGGTAAGGTGACATGGGGTTAAATGCCATTTTCAAGATTATTGTACAATCATTCTCAGCTCCCTGGGGAGAATACAACCCAAGCTGCCTGTTAGGTGCAGAAGGTTAACAACCACACTGCCATCTCATCCTAACGGGTACCCAGTCACTGCTGGGTGAACAGAGGAACAATTTGAACAAAGTCACTAGCCCAAGGACACACCAAATGTCCTCCACCTGTGGGGCAGGACCGAAGCCCGAGAAACTCTCAGGAGCCAAGCGGCCGAACACAGTCACCCATCGAAGGACTCTGCGACCGATGTTGCCTAGCTTCACCTGATTTGTGACATGTGTGCTGTGCACAAGACCACGTGCCACCACCAAAATGATGTATTTACATTCAAGTTACCAATACAGCACTCATTACTGTCAATGTCATTGGTATTAGACACATAATCCATTTGAAATAAAGTCTTGTGCCTTGCGTTTTGTGCTGTGTGTCTGTCTTTACTAGTTCTTTACTAGTTCTGACTTGTGCCGGTTTTATAGCGCTGGTCCATTGATATGCTATGTTTTAAAACGAATACTCCACTCTGACACAGTATATTGACTCCGAGCCGACCAGTCCTTGAATTATCAATTTAATGCTGAGTGCCAGTCAGGGTAACAACAAGTACCAGAGTAACAACAAGTACCAGGGTAACAACCCCATTGTCATGTGACCTACCTCCACACCACTAGCTGAGATCTTGAGGTATTCACTGACATCATTGTTGTTGAGCATAACATTAATACCATTCAGGTCGATGCGTTCGTAAGTAAACTGCCTGCCCTGAAACAATAAGTTGTGAGATTAATTTAAACATTCACAATCCAAATGAATCTCAGACTGACAAAACATAAAGTGATTTTAACTAGCAGGCTTCAAATATACAACCTTTAACTTAAAAAACACTACCTTGAAGATTATTATGCTCATAGTCTCTTTTTGTCTGCACTCAGCAATAGTCAAGCTCAATGAGGGCAGCGGGGTAGCCTAGTGGTTACAGTGTTGGCTCGTCACGCCGAAGACCCGGGGTTTCAATTCCCCATGTGGGTACAATGTGTGAAGACCATTTTCCAGTGTCCCCCATTGGATATGGCTGGAATATTGCTAAAAGCGACGTAAACCCATACTCACTCCAGCTCTGTGATGGCGCTCTGTAAATAATCGCGTCTGAGCCAGACAATCCAGTGATTAACATCATGAGCACGATCAACACAACTGGGATACAATGACTTGCATCAAACAAGTCAGAGGGTTGCTGAAGACCAGTTGTAAGCCAGATCTTCATTGGGTATGATGATATATTTTTCTTAAATGTGAGGTGAGGTGAAATTGGGTTTAACATCGCGTTCAAGATTATTGCACTTATATAGCAACATGCATGCATGTGTGTGTGTGTCACTGCTTGTACTAGTCCGGACTGATGCCATTTTACAGTGCAAGCTAAATGAGATACCATGCCAGAGTTTAACATGATTACCCCACTCAGACCCAGTGTACTGACTCCTAGCCAACCAGTCCTTGTTTTGGCCCCTTAAAGACAGGGTAACAACAAGTATCATCTTTTAACGTTTTTGGTATGATGAAGCCGGGGATCAAACCCCAGTCCTTCAGCTCCCCGGGTGGAAACTCTATCAATAGACCACGGTGGCGGTCTTTTCTTAAATAGACAGACGATGATTGAATATGAATATAAAAGTAAAGCATTTTGCTGAAATTTAACCTTACCTCTATAAGAACTGTTTTCCAGAACATGAAACAAGAAAGTGAAGGTCATGAGAGAGGATAGATCAAGGAATTGTGACTGCTTGTTAACAAAGCAATGACACTCATATAATAAAATGTAAAAAGTGAGTAAGGATTTACTATACTTAATAAAATATATGAACACAATGTCAAAGCATTGTAGCTCACCTGGTAATATGTATGAGAATCTTAAGATTAGCATCATGGAACTGTAGGTCACCTGGACATATAGTCAACATAATATTTTAGTGGTTAGCAAAAATTAGTTCTAAACTAGAGTAGCCTCCCTTGCCTTGGGTATAGCCAAGCCCCTTCCCAGCACATGACACCTTCGTTACACTCTCGGTAACATCACTGCCACCAGTGTGGGCGCGGCCATTACAAGAATCTTGAAATTTGCCCTCTAACCCCAAACGCAGTAACGTTTATACTTTTGCTTATGTCTTTGGGAATGCCAATACAGTTATTTTTTAAAAGGTTTACGACTGACCCTAATTCCTAGATGAATTTAACTTCTTTCTTTTTTTTTATCAGATTGGTTCGAGATTGCAGACAAACGGAAATTCACTCAAATTCCCCCTTACATTCTTACAATACCAATTACATGATAGTTTAAATGAAATAGAAATTAAAATTGACAAACAAAGAAAACAATTTAGTTGGGGTAGAGTATTCGGCGTCACGACAGTCATCGCTTGTAGAGATCGCTTGTTTGTAAGCATACCGTCCGTCGGTTGCGAGTTCAACTCCAAGCATGGTTGTGACAACCTATCACAGTGGGGAGTTTTGACTGGTGGCAGCGATAGTATAGACTAGAAGAAATTTGCCACTTTTAAGGGTTTTGCTATATGTTATCATTATCAGGACTTGTGTACTAAAACTGTTAGTTTCTACTGCTGAATATACTGATGATTTGAACAAAAATAGTGATGGCATCCGAAGAAAAATAATTGCCAAAGTTCTGCTTCCTCAGTTTGGCAATATTCAGAGGATAAAACAGAGCGCAGATCTGCACTTTGATAGAATTCAAGGTCATGATCCAAACACGAATGTCAGACTTTGACTGTTGGTTAGTCTCGGGCTGATAGATGGTTATTCATCCATAGTTACAAATCAGTCAACAAAATCAGCTGAGTTTGTTTCAAAAATCATAAATTCTCACGAGGGATGAACCTGGAGCGTTTCTGATCAGGAGTCAGAAGCCTTGGAACCCAGCATGCCGAAAACTTTGTCATGCCAAGTTCTTTCTTCAGAATGTTCTCAACTCCCTCATGAGAGATGCCTACTGTATTGGGTATGTGACACGTGGTGAGTTGCCATTCATCCATAACCATATCATGTCTTTTATTAACACTTTCCTCAGTAGTGGCAGTTGAAGGTCTTCCTGATCTTGGATCACTTTGAAACTCTCTCTTCGAGGCCCTTCACTGTTCACCACTAAGGTGAGGTGAAATGGGGTTTAACGTCGCGTCCAAGATTATTGCACTTATATAGCGACGTGCATGCACGTGTGTGTGGCTGCTTGTTCTAGACCGGACTGATGCCGATTTATAGTGCTAGCTCACTGAGATACCATGTCGCAGTTTAACTTGAATACCCCACTCAGACACAGTATACTGTCTCCGAGCCGACCAGTCCTTGTTTTAGCCCCTTAATGCCGAGCGCCAGACAGGGTAACAACAAGTTCCATCTTTTAACGTCTTTTGGTATGACGCGGCCGAGGATCGAACTCCAGACCTTCTGCTCTCTACCACTAGACAACAGAGGTGGTCCGTCCACCACTAAACAGTAACATCCTCTGTATTCTTGTTGTTTGTTGTTTAACACCGCACTCAGCAATATTCCAGCTATGTGACGGCGGTCTCTAAATAATCGATTCTGGACCAGACAATCCAGTGATTGACAACATGATGATCAATCCACGCAATAGGTATTGATGACATGCATCAACCAAGTCAGCGAGCCTGACCACCTGATCCTGTTAGTCGACTCTTACAACAAGCATAGTCGCTTCCTACGGCAAGCATGGGTTGCTGAAGACCTATTCTACCCCGGATCTTCACACTTTCCTCTGTATTCAACAGTCCTATATCATCTCTTCCTAAACTTGAAGACAGAACGTCTGGCAAGCATTATGTAACTGATGATGACATCATGTCTGCTGTGGAGGACTTTTTGTAGGAAGAAGCTCTCCACACAAGTCAGATCAGGTACTCCAGCATCGTTGGCAGAAGTGGACCTCAAAAGTGGATTATATTGAAAAATAATCAGCAACCATTAACGCAGTCTATCATAGACAGATACCCTTCATCTGGATGAGGGGGCATGGGTGGCCCAGTCTTCTAAGGCGCCGCGATTCCCTGTGCAGAGTTGCGTCCCTTGGGCACGCCAGAAACCTATGATTGTGGGTTCGAATCCCGGTTCGCCCCAATTATGTTTCTAGGTTTGTCAGCACCATACCCGTGCTCGTGGGTTTCACCGAAGTGGTAAACGTCTGAGACCTGCATCACTTCGGGCTTTCCTCCCACATTTAGCTGACACGCCGCGATATAACTGTAATACTGTTAAAAGCGGCGTTAAACCCGACTCACTCACTCATTTGTGATGAGTTCCACTGCTAACTAAACATACACAAAACGTAATTTGATTTTGAACAATAGTAAAGGTCATAAATAGTTTTTCTATATGGTTGGTGTAGCAGCCATTGGATTCAAACCTCATCATCGGTGGGAACAAGCATGTGCAGTTTCAGCTTCATTGAACCAATGGAGGAGATGATTACAAAGCACATTATCATACCTCTATGTCCAAATGATGAGATCTGATTGGTCCACGTGATCTTGATAAAATACTGTGTACCCCGCCTTGGAGGGTAATAAATTCCTCAGCGGGGGAATAAGAACCTTATACCCCGCCACTAGCAATACTAGCTGCACATGAATTTCTGAGAAACAGAATAAATCCCTTTTACCCCGCTTCAAAGGAAAAATTTCCACGCTTTTTCCGACTCAATGGAAGTCACATGACAGCACAAGTTAACCTCAGTTCAATAGAAGAGCTGTTTACTATCAATTTTGAATTTGTGTTAATTCTTTTACAATGCCACATTAGAACATGTCGGTAAGATAAATTCATTGTAGCAGGATCACTCAGGTACATGGGGTGTTATGCGTCCCTCGTTAGGTTTAATACCATGAGCTGGAAGGGACAAACAGGCCATGACATGTGCTCACTTGACATTCAGGTGAGCTAAACAAAACACTTTTGTTCATGTCAGCATCAATATTTTGTGAGTGAATGCTGTTATATGCCACAATATTCCAGCTACCATACTAAAAAAATGACAAAGGTCGCACAAGTTAAATTTGTTGTCAAAGATCAAGAGGTAGATGTAGCTAAAAATGTCAATGGAGCTAAAACTATTTGATAATAATAACTAGAAAATTATATACCCCTTCTACAATGCTGTCTTTTAGATATGATAAAAAAAGCAAGAAACATGTTGGGGTTTTTCTTCTTCGTAAAAGCCTCCAATTTTGATGCCTTTCACAGATCTCAGTGACAAACAACCACAAACAATGAAACAGTATCAATAGATGACATGAAAAACCTCACTAGGGCCTTATGAACTACAGGCAATGGTTTGTATTTATAATAATGAAATAATTTGTTTCAAAATCCCATTCTGATTCCTCTAAATCATCATGGCTGCCAATTCTGGTATTGTTACATTTGTGCTATGATCAGCGTCCCGTTTACCAGTAATTACCAGTTTTTTTCCGGGTAAAATTAAGCTTGGACCGGTAATTCATGTGACTGTCAGTCCTTGTGGACCGGCATTTGAAGTGCCTTATAAATCTTTGTTGTTGAACAAAACATCGGTGATATTCACATCAGTACATTTTTCGAACAAAGTCAGCTTGTCTTTTACCATCAGGGTTTCCCCTTGTCTATTTCTAGGTTAAATATCCATTTGTAGCGACTTCATCTTGAAATATTAAAAATAAGAGAAAATTGTGACTGAAGTTTGTGTGAATGACGTATAGATATTACTAAGTTACTTCAGAGATGACATCTTTGCACTGAACATGATGTTGAAAGAATTAAAACCAAATAATTTACAAACGGTTTTTTATTTGTTGAAAGTTGGGACTGGGAATTTTTAGAGTTGCCAGTCCACAAGGACTGGCAGTTTCAAAAACCAGCAGGAACACTGTATGATGTCATGAAGCATAATGTAAATGTCCTAATAACACAGAAAACCTCACAACACCACAAAAGTTGGACTCACATAGGTTATCGAGGCACCAGGCCGCACAGAAGCCAACTTCCCTCTTGACATAGTCGGAGTCGTGCCACCATTCCTCCAAAACCAGCAGGGGATGGGGAGACAACTCTTTCATTGACTGGTTAATTGTTACCTTGTTCTCACCTGGAAAAGAAACAAGAAGATACTGATTGTTTTTGCATACATGCATAGTTGAACAGGACTTCATGTTATAGATGATCATACGTTGACCTCAACAGTACAGAAAACTCATGTTCCAGAGGATTATAAGTTGACCTCCACAATACATAAACCTCATGCTCCAGAGGATAATAAGTTGACCTCCACAATACAGAATAAGTTGACCTCTACAGTACAGAATCCTCATGTCCCAGAGGATTATAAGTTGACCTCCACAATACAGAAACCTCACATTCCAGAGGATTATAAGTTGACCTCCACAATAAAGAAACCTCACGTCCAAGAGGATTATAAGTTGACCTCCAAAATACAGAAACCTCACGTTCCAGAGGATTATAAGTTGACCTCCACAATACAGAAACCTCGCGTTCCAGAGGATAAGTTGACCTGTACAGTACAGAAACCTAACGTTCCACAATACAGAATAAGTTGACCTCCACAATACAGAAACCTCACGTTCCAGAGGATTATAAGTTGACCTCCACAATACAGAAACCTCACGTTCCAGAGGATTATAAGTTGACCTCCACAATACAGAATAAGTTGACCTGTACAGTACAGAAACCTCACGTTCCAGAGGATTATAAGTTGACCTCCACAATACAGAAACCTAACGTTCCAGAGGATTATAAGTTGACCTCCATTATACAGAATAAGTTGACCTCTACAGTACAGAAACATCATGTCCCAGCAAATTATAAGTTGACCTCCACAATACAGAAACCTCATGTTCCAGAGGATTATAAGTTGACCTCCACAATACAGAATAAGTTGACCTCTACAGTACAGAAACCTCATGTCCCAGTGGATTATAAGTTGACCTCCACAATACATAAACCTAACGTTCCAGAGGATTATAAGTTGACCTCCACAATACAGAAACCTCACGTTCCAGAGGATTATAAGTTGACCTCCACAATACAGAAACCTCACGTTCCAGAGGATTATAAGTTGACCTCCACAATACAGAATAAGTTGACCTCCACAATACAGAAACCTCACGTTCCAGAGGATTATAAGTTGACCTCCACAATACAGAAACCTCACGTTCCAGAGGATTATAAGTTGACCTCCACAATACAGAATAAGTTGACCTCCACAATACAGAAACCTCACGTTCCAGAGGATTATAAGTTGACCTCCACAATACAGAATAAGTTGACCTCTACAGTACAGAAACATCATGTCCCAGCAAATTATAAGTTGACCTCCACAATACAGAAACCTCACGTTCCAGAGGATTATAAGTTGACCTCCACAATACAGAATAAGTTGACCTCTACAGTACAGAAACCTCATGTCCCAGTGGATTATAAGTTGACCTCCACAATACATAAACCTAACGTTCCAGAGGATTATAAGTTGACCTCCACAATACAGAAACCTCATGTTCCAGGGATTATAAGTTGACCTCCACAATACAGAAACCTAACGTTCCAGAGGATTATAAGTTAACCTCCACAATACAGAAACCTAACGTTCCAGAGGATTATATGTTGACCTCCACAATACAGAAATCTCATGTTTGTAATAGTTTTCCATATCATTTTCTAGGTGCAAAGTCATTGCACCAACAACTTGCCCTGTGAATCTTCCATAGGTACCTATTTGCAGCCAAAATCTTATGAGTGAAAAGGTGATTCAATTTTATATGCAGCTTTGCAGAGTATTTCAGGCACTTCTCACAATATGGGACAAAAACCTCAAGTGCTAAAGCTTATAGATTTTCCTACTTTGGTAACATGAGTACTGGCTTTTAGTTTCATGACTATGGTCTTGGTATTGACACACTTAGTATCAATATTTAGGGAATCTTGGAATCGAACCTATGACCAGTGGATCCTGGCACAGTGAAGAAACACAACTCTGCACAGCAAATTACAACATATTAGCCTCTGGCAACTCAGGAACACAACTTTGTCCACCAGCACCCAAGGATTAAACAAAAGAGCAGAGAATCATATTCATTAGGTATGTTAGTCCTACGATCATCATAGCGCAATGCTAGAGAGAAGTTTCAACAGTCAAGGCACTATGATCACTGTGGGGAGCGTGACCCAGATCTTCCTCCTAGTCTTACTTGTTTGTGCAAACTTCTCAAGAGCTACCATGGAATGCAGTACCACCACTGGAGGGTTGCAGGGATTCTGAAAACATGAATCATACATGGCCATTAGATTACTGCTGGCTCCATGTTATTCTAATAACTTGTAAATAGTGTCTCAAATAACCCTAAACAAGCAAACAAACAAAATGCAACAACAAGACTACTATTTGATAACATGTTTGGAAAATTGTTTCAAGTAGTAATCTTGTTGTTGCATTTTGTTTGTTTACTACTTGAAACATTGTTCCAAACATGTTATCAAATAGAAATGTTTTTTACGCATTCAGAACACACCAGAGGTGAGGAACAAATACATATCAAATTTTGTATTATTCTATTCTGAGTACATAATTATGATAATGGTAACAGGGACATATTCCAGTCTTTATGATCATGAGATGTGATTAATTACAAAGTAGTTTACTCCATGTGCTTCATCATCATGATCATTTTGATCTAATGATAAAGGCATCGTTTCAATAAGATATTCTCAAATTTCAAGCACATTTTCTCAATGTGAAACAAAGTTAAAAAAGTCATGTAAGAAATTTCCAGTTCATTCGTGACATTAAAGAGATTAAAGTAAACATAGGCAAAAATCAAGTAAATTTTGCCCTGTGAAACTAATAAAAAGAGCAATCCTTTCAGGGTTTTTTGCTTCAAATTATATACAAAAATTATGGGCTAATTTGAGGCACTTTTTACAGTGACGTTTGGGGTAAACATTACTTACCAAATGACAGATGAGATACTGGAGAACATCAGCTGATAACAAGGTTATACTACTGGGACCTGCAACCATAAAAGTACCACCTTATAGCATAGCAAACAGTCATCTTACTCTTGTCAGTTACTTTGCACTGAACATGATGTTGAGAGAATTAAAACCAAATAATTACATACATTTTCAATTTGTTGAAAGTTGGGACTGGCAAAAATTAAGGGGGACTGGTAATTTTTAGAGTTGCCAGTCTACAAGGACTGGCAGTTTCAAAAGCCAGCGGGAACACTGTATGATGTCATGATTTGTTAGTGAGTAAAAGCGCAACAGTAGCTCCTTAACCTAACCTAGATTCAAGGCTGGACAAAATTATCTGTGTACGGGCTTAAAGACGAAAACATTCTGGTTATATTTTCTTAATATCAAAACATATCCACACTAGTCGTAAGAGAAGGCAGATATGAGTATCAGGAGGTCACAATGAAGTGAGGTGTACATCTACTGCACAGATCAACACTCATCCTGTCAATTCCTCGTGGGGATCTGGGTCAGGATATGTCCTGTGTGTCACCTTGCTTATTATGACAGCCAAATGACTATTGAGTGTTTACGATGTGTGAGTTACTGTACCCCTACTGTTTGTTTGTTTGTTTGTTGTTTAACGCCGCACTCAGAAATAAGACGGCAGTCTGTAAATAATCTTGTCTGGACAATCCAGTGATTGACATCATGACCATCTATCCAAGCAGTTGGGATACAATGACATGCATCAACCAAGTCAGCCAGCCTTACCACCCGATCCCATTAGTCGCCTCTTACGACAAGCATAGTCGCCTTTTACGGCAAGCATGGGTTGCTGAAGACCTATTCTACCCCGGATCTTCACGGGGCGTACCCCATCTGCACAGGTCAACACTCATGCTGTCAATCCCTCAAGGGGATCTGAATCGGAACATGTCATCTGTATCCCCTACTTATTATGAGAGCTGAATAATGAGGATTGGGTGGTCACAATGTGTGAACTGACTCTTTGTCAGTCATCGTCGACTTACACAGGCTCGTTGGGCTTTCTATCAACAACAGGTTTGCCCGATTACAACTTATCAACAGGTGGGCGTTATACAGCTGGAATATTCCTGAGTGCAGATGTAATCAATACAATTTTTCTTGTAATCTGAAAGATTTACAATTGGAGTAAATCTGTCTCGCAGTAAACCACAAGAACCATACTTGAAGGTGCTTACCTGCCAGTTTTTCTGCTAGACAACCAAGTATAACACAGATATTGCGCTGATGTGAGGGATCCTTGTACATGGTGGCCGGCCCCTCCTGTCCCAGGTTCAGGTGTCGCTGCAGCTCCAGCAGGGCCTCCTGGAGGGGGACAAGTGGAACATCACTCTCATGGCACGGTACAGGGCTACAAAGTCTTTCTACCTTACACATGAATATTGGATTCTCATTGGCTGAGACTAAGGGTGACAGTTGGGGTAGGGCTGGGACGGGTAACTTGGGTACTCGGGTCGGGTGGGTACAGAGTAGGACCTGGGTACTCACAGGACCACACGGACCCATGGTTATTCATGTGATATATTGTTTAATGAGAAAAAAATCACTACTATAACTTCATGGGTACCTACCAATCGCTAATGTTCGGATATCTTTCTAACTATAGACACATTCTTTCTGACTTTTATATGTTTCGAGTAAAGATACAGCTTCAGTTAACTTCAGTGAATGCATGACCAGATCGTTTTATAGGTGTATCTAAATACTTTTCGCCAGGGTTACAGTAAAACAATTCCTAATTGGATATTTTGTACCCAACGCTTGAGACCTACAGCGGGTATTCAGGTAGGGTTGGGTAATAGGGGGTCGGTTACCCGGTAGTAAATTTGGACTCGTCCCAGCCCTATATTGGTGCTTTTTTCACTATTGCGATTGTATAGCAATCGTACCCAATACTATTGCAATAGTATAGCTCTTATTGAAACCACATAAAACTTTGGTTAGCATACATGGTAAGTTAAGATCTAATATTTCTAATTCTATTTGACGTAAGTGGAAATCAAGTTCTACCGAGTGTGAAAACCCACTGGAATACATATCAGAAGAAGATTTATTCCTTAGATTTAGGTTTCGGGCGGAGACGATTCTATACATCGTGTCCAACGGCTAAGTTTTTGCTGAGTTTAATTCGAGAAATGCGTTATTTTTGCAAACTCAGTTTGAGATTTGAATCAAAACTAAAGTTTGTTTTGAGAAATCGGTGCCTGATGTTACACTCACAGCTAGACTGTCCAAACTGAGAGTTGCATGTGGTCTTAGCTATAGTAATATTATTTTACTTATCAATCAGACAAAACCACTAATGAGATGGCAAATGATAAGTTTCAACCAAATCAAACCCAGGTTCGGGCACAGTAAACATGGTATAGCACAGTACAAAATTAAGGGCTTCCTGTGTCACTTTACGCTTGCTGCTACATTAGAGTCTTGGGAGCGCCTAAATCTTAATTGTTTAGCATTAGCTTACACCTAGGGACATTCCAGCTCATTCAAATACTGCAGGGAAATGAAAGACTTACTTTTGTGGGCAGAGGACATTCGTCCAGTAGCAGCGTGATGACGGCAGGGCCGACAGGGTCGTCCATTGGAATGACTCGGATGAGAGATTTGACGACGTCCAGCCAGCCCTGATCTCTCTCTGCAGTCTTGTGTAGGGTCAGCATGGCCGCTGGAGGCTCCTGGTCACTGAGCACAAGAAGGTGGTGACAAATATTTAACATTAGCAGTGATAGAGACTAGCATTTTTAGTTCACAGATTTTTACAATGTTTACAATCATAACATATAGCAAAACCCTTAAAAAGGGTAAATTGTTGCTAGTCCTTGTGATACTTTAACAAATGGGCAATTTGGCAAGTACTATAGGACTAGTGCCAATTTCTAATGCTGAAAAGTTTGGTGTCATGTAAGAATGTAATACCTCAAGTTTGAGGGTAGGGGTTAATAGGTCTGCAACTTTTCCACCCAACAAGATACACTTTTCAAGAGATTTTACAGTTGAAGACACATCTCTAATCATCTAATTTTACATATCAAAGCAGCATTCCCATGATATGTCAACATTGTCACAAATCTGTTTCGGTTTGGGATTAAGGGTAGGTCTTAAAAGTGAAAGGAATTACATTGGCTTCCAAGATTGAACTTTGAGTTGTTTCCTACATAGCAATCACTATATATATACATACCAATGATGTGCATAAATTTTTGTTTTTAATATGTCATCCAGACAACAACAGACATATACATGGAACGATAACATTACTTGAATAATAAGCCACTTCTTATCATACAACTTTGCAGACAGATTCTTGAGAAAAACTTGCATGTATGTCATATAGTTGCTTTACATATTTATTTTAGTCCTCAAATTCACTGATCCGCCTACCAAATATTTCACAAATGTGGCGTGAGATCAATCTCTTCTCCATCCCTCCCAGTCAGTTAACTCATTGTGCTAATTTCCGGTGACAAGAACCCAATTAAAGAAGAAATGTATGTGAATGTGGGAAGGGAGGTAACTCATTTCTTTTCAGACCTCCAGATAAGCTGAAATATGCAGACAAATCAAATCCTAGCATATCAACGCAACAAAGACTATAAACATGATAAATAAACTATTGAAATAAAACTAATGCATATCTAACATCTATTAGATAAACGATTGTGTATATATTATTACTATTAGATTAAAAAATTGTGTATATTATTACTATTAGATAAAAAATATTGTGTATATTTTTACTATTAGATAAAACAATTGTGTATATTTCAACTATATTATAACTATTAGACAAAATGATTGCTTTTATTTTAATTGTCTATCAACTGATCGCGAAATTCACTCAGACAGTTACACTTGGAAAAAACGTGTGTGAGAAAAAAAACTAAACTCGAATACTGATAGATTCTAAATGAAAAGCACATCATTGTGGATACCCAATCACAATCAAACCCTTGAGTAAAAACCCAAATAACCAAAAGCTCATCTACAGCTTACCTACTTCACCCCAAAACCAATAGCTTTAACATGTTTAAGAGATCATATATTGAAAACATTGTAAACCAAATATTCAAAAACAAGAAAACTTAAGTATAAAGGATTCGTTGTTCAGAGAGTGACGATATACAGATAAACATTGTGGATTTAATGTACTGGAAGTTCAACATAGCTACAAATCAATATTGAGGAGCTATCAAAGGAGGAAAGTATCAAACCATCTGTGCATCTGAGACTTACTTGTCTACCAAGGTCCGAATGAGTGCCAGTGTTTCTAACACTAGAGAATCAATACTCTTCGTGGCCAGCTCCGCACCTCTCCCGGCTCCCCCGCTTCTCCGGTGGTGGCTGCTACCAGATACACCATTGGCTGTCCGCTGAGGGTTAGAGTGACCGGTGCCGCGTGAACCACGTGATCGGTTCCGTGAATCTCTATTGCGAGAATCTGTGTTATCCGTGGACTTGTCTTTACAAACACATGAACCCATTATGTAAGCTCGAATAAACTGAGCACAGATGATGCGGCATATGTGCAGTGGCGAGGAAAATATGTGATGGGTCAGCCAAAATGTTACTATCATGCCTTAAATCTTGGTTCCATCACTAAGTATGTGCTAATCATCCTCCATACTGTGGCAACTTGACCCTTTCTTTGGTACTGTTCATAGTGAAAATGATTGAACCCTCTTCAAACTATAACTGTTGCTGAAAGTATAGAAGTTTAAAAGTGTTGAAATATTGCCAATAAACAAATGAATCAGAAGGTTAACTCATAGGCCTGTTAGTGTCAACAATCTCACACTGAGTAAGTGAGTGAATTTGGCTTAACGCCACTTTGAACAGTATTCCAGTTATATCATTGCGTGTCAGCTAAATGTGTGAGAAAAGTCCAAAGTGATACTGGTCTCAAACGTTTAACACTTTGGTGAAACCCACAAGCAACAAGCCGTCAAACATAGAAACATACTTTGGGCGAATCCATGATCATAGGTTTCTGGCATACCTAAGGGATGCAACTCTGCACAGGGAAAAGTGGCATCTTAGATGACTGGCCACTCGTGCCGCCATGGCACACTGAGGATATATTCATGCAAGTCAAAGGCATGTACGTACAAAACATGCAGGGTTACACTAACCAGAACTATAGTTTAGTTTGTTTGTCGTTTAACGCCACACTCAGCAATATTCCAGTTATATGTTTGCCGTGGAACAGACAATCCAGTGATTGACATCATTAGCATCAATACAAGCAATTGGGATGCAGTGACATGCAATCACAACAACAACAAAAACAACCCACAACTATCAGGTGTATAGGCTGGCCATGAGTGTCGTGGAAAACAGCTTAGGTCACTCCACTCTGCTGACTGTTATCCATAATATCTCCTCACTTTCTCTTGGAATGCTAGACCTGTCTAGCACTGTTTTTTGGTATGGGAGTCAAATGCGTGTTGGATAGAGATTAAAATAATCAACAGCTAAAGACTTCTTGTATCCTTTTTTTCTAAATACTGTATTTGACGTAATAAGTGCCCAGGGCGCTCTCCAAATTAGAAATAGGGGGCTCTTATTAGTTGAGTTGAAAGATAAATTTCGTGGTTAATGCTGACAGCCTGTAATGTTTATATACGACAGATATATTTTTCCAGAATTTAATAGCCCATAATTAAGGGTGCATATAACACACGAGTGCGTAATAAATGAGTCTCTTGTACATTGATCGATTGGAAGGGGTGCTAATTGGGATTGTTCACTTGTCAATATATTGGCAAATATCGCCGTGGAGAGATCGGTGCTTATTACGTCGAATACGGTAGTCATTATGGAACACAATAGCTCATACAGATGTGGTATAGTCAATATACATGAACTTGATTAGAGAAGTACATATTTGGTTTTATATTTAACAATGTGTATACTAGGTATTAAATATGCAATTAGGAAATTTATACTTTTGGTTTTCAAGTTGTAATTCATTCACATGGTCATCAAACTTGCTTCTTGATGGTAGCAAAAATCCAGAAAGGGACCAGCAGTTTACACTATTAAGGAGTGAAGTTCCTGGAGTTGACAGGGATAATACAATAGAACACGGGTATAATGAACACGGATAGAGCGAACAAACGGATACAACGAACTGTTGAAAAATCCCCGATGTATCTCCTATATAATATCAAATAAAATTTACATACATAACGAACTTTCTACAGAGAACTAACGTATATAGTGAACTGATATCTGATCACCGACAAGCCCATCTACCACTAATTAGTGACGTGTATAGCGAACTGAGAAATCTCACTCAGTGTCAAGTGTCACTGACAATTGGCTGTACGCAATCGACGGTGAATCAACACAATCGTGGCGAATCAACACAATCAGCGGTGACGATTCAACCTTGTTAAACTTGCATTGTGTTAATCTTACCTATACATGTAATTGGACTAATCTTATCTGTAAAATAAACATTAAACATATAAATTTTACAAATTCTCGAATCCTGCAAGTTGACTGACTTTGGTCCTGCCCGGAAATGGTTAGGAGCTGCCAATCACCAAGATGCTAAATATGTTTACATGTATTTGATAAACAATGTTTTAAAAATGTTATGAATTTAATGTTTAAAATGAATGTTATGAAAAGTTATCAATTCAATGCTATGAAATGATCACTGCTAATACACATCAATACTGCAATTACGTGCATTGTGTTTTGTTTTATCCAAGATGGCAGACGTTTCCGAGTGAAAACGTATATATATAATGAACAACGAATATAACAAACTGATTTCTCTGGTCCCTTGTAGTTCGTTATGCCCATGTTCTACTGTAGATACATATAAACAAGGGCCTCCTGCTTCATGATAAAACTGATAACACCAGCTAGCTACAGATGTTGGAAAGTTAAGAACAACAGTTGTACAACATATAAACAACTGGTGAGTGAGTGAGTATGGTTTTACGCCGCTTTTAGCAATATTCCAGCAATATCAAGGCGGGGGACACCAGAAAATGGGCTTCAGACATTGTACCCATGTCGGAATCGAACCCCGGGTCTTCGGCGTGACGAGCGAGCGCTTTAACCACTCGGCTATCCGACAGCCCCTTAAACAACTGATAATAGTGTCCACCTATGATTATTGAAAAGGCGTCCCTACAAATGTGACCGGTCAGATGCCGCTACAAGTCTAATACTTACAAGAGCGTAATCAATGTAATTGTGCTGTTCTACAGGTCTTGTTTGTGTTTAAATGCTGCACTTGGCAATATTCCAACTATATGACGGTGGCATGTAAATAATCAAAATCAGACAATCCAGCCATGCATAATATAAGCAACAATACATCAGGGTATAATTACATGCAAACATATCAAATCACGGAACCTAATGACCATAAAGTCTCCTCTGACAGCCAGCAAAGGTTACTGGGTACCGATTCTAACCTAGGAATATTCCCCAAGGCAGCACTAGAAATTCTCACTAGTCCTGTAGTCCTTGCCAAACTGCCCAATAGTTAAGGTATCATAAGGCCAAGTAGAAATTGGCCATTTTTTTAGGGTTTTGCTATATGTTATCATTAAAAGGACTAGTAGAGTAAAACTGTTAGTTTCTACCGCTGCAAGGGAACAATTTTGTTTTGATAGAAAGCAAACCATGCCAACTAATTGGCATCAGGATTACCTTAAAATACACACACGGTGCTATTATAACGTCCCACTGAGTCTATGCCATACACTTCAGAGCATAGTGGCATCATTTTAAATACAATTTGAAATTCGAATACTGACCAAAGCTGTCGTAATGCAATGACATACATGTACATCAGTGATAGAAACTAACAGTTTTAGCCCACTTGTCCTTATAATGATAACATATAGCAAAACTCTTTAAAAAAGGCACATTTCTACTAGTCCTTATGATACCTTAACTATTAGGCAGTTTGGCAAGGACTATGGGACTAGTGCCAATTTCTAGTGCTGTACATTCAACCAAGTCACCAAGCCAGGCCACCAGATCTCTTATGTATGTCTTGTACAACTAGCACAGGTTGCTGTGAACCTCTTCAAACCTGGAATTTGCCCAAGCCTCCAAAAACTTGGGGGGTCATCATGACACCCTTGTCTGCTCTGAAGGGGTCACAGGTGTATATTAGGGGTCCTAACGGTCCAAAGAATCAAATGATATCTTGAATGCAAACAAACTTATCATGTGTTGAGGTTTCCAAATACAATCATTATTGATCAAAATAACCCAACAACTTTGTGTAAACGCAGTTTGAAATTAAGGGGAGTTCTGGGATTTTTGCTTTACTCCCGGTAGTACTGATTCCAGCCCCCATCCTGCATTAGATGAGTGAATATGGTGATTCCCCAGTCAACTTCATACCTTAGCAAATTAGAGAAATTAATTACTTACTTAATATTACTATAATTTATTGACTTTAATACAGAGAAACTTGTATACCAATGTTTATATAAAAGAAGTAAAGCTTTAAAATGAAAAGACAATAACCACTTGTCTGTAGTATCATAATATACTAGATTTCCTGCTTGTGAAACTATGTGATTTAACATGTAAAGTTGCCAGATGGTGGTTGCATATAGGTAGTGTTCATTGCCAGATGTAACTTTAATCCCAAATGTGGCCAGTCTGGACATAACTCCAGAGTCATGTGGCTGTCAATCTCATCCTAGTAGAACTAAGTACCAAGGTTGCTTAAAACAAGACTCACTCTTACCTGATGGAGGGGCCATAAGCATCAATAACACATCATTTAACATAACAATGAAGTAAAGATTCATGTCTTCCTATAACCAACTTTGCATAGCAACGTTATCCATCTACACTGTACGACATACATTCAAGTGTAGTAACAAGCATTAGTATATAAGGACATGATGATAACACTTATTATATGATGGTAACAACAGAGTTGTGGAAGCGTAATCTTCTATACTTGCAGGCAATCAGTGAGTTCATTATAAACATAAAGATTACAGCTAACACCAAAAACACAACCATTTCACTTGTTGATTTATCTTAAGAAATTAGGAATAATCAAAACAATATTGATCACATAAGGTAGCTGTGTATCTTGTGTGACAATGTCAAACATAGGGAACATACACTGAAATGTTTTTGAAACCATAAACAATATATTCCAAACTTCAAATTAACCAGACCAAGATGTAGATATTTCTTCATCTGAACTCCCAATATGTTGACATTAACACACACGAAAACATCTTAGACAGAGGGATAACTTCATAATCATAATCAGTCATTGCTATCAACTAAATTAGATTACATGAACATGTTGTTGTGGTTTGCTTATGTGTGTAATTCTTAATATTGCTGTCTTCCTAATGAAAATGTGGGATACAATTCATATCAAAATTTAGTCAAAAGGGAACAAAATAGCATACAACAGCACCCGTGTTGTGAAAACATTGGTATTATGGCACAAGTGGCCTTACACTGACAGGACAGAACGTCATGTATGTTTGTGCATAAATGATTAAACTAATAATATTCGTATTCTACCTTTAGCAGCCGACGTTCCGCCGCCATTTTAGCCGGGCCTTTCAGAGTAATTTCTTCATTTTCCGGTTTATTTAAAAAATGGTGATGTATATATGGAAAGACATTAAAAGACAAGATCAAAATTATCCATTAAGTTAAAAAACGTCTCTTTGATTTACTATTTGATCATTTCCTGAAACTATGTGCGCGCCGGTGTGTGCGGTGCTGCTCTCATGAATATTCATTTCTTGGCAACAGGGCAACGGGAGAAGTTGGTGAGGGAATCATGTCGGAGGTTATTCACGTCAAAACTGAGACAGACGAATTTTGTCTAAAGGGAAGAACATGTGAAGTATCTTCATATTCATTTATACCAAAAGAAAGAAAGAATCCACCTGAGAGGACGTACTTTGGATCGGAGAAGAAGGTGAGGTGGAAAGAAAGCTGCTCCCTAGTTGTTGTCATTGGATACAAAGGGTAGCCAGGCGGAATGGAGTTCTTTTGCCCTGAATAGTTTACGTTTAACAAATAATGGTTACTCTTACTTGCAAAATCCCTTAGTACAAGTATCGTGTAATTTTAACCCCCTCGTATTACGTTAGAGCTAAAATTAAGGAGATTCAAGGAAAGTCTGTACAATTAAGAACATTAATAATTGTCTTTGCAGATGCTAGTTCTGATGTCGAATGAAGAATATATGAGTTAACATTAACATAGAAGTACTTTCAGAAATATCAGCAGGTCATTCTAAGAAAATTGACCCTTTGGTTGGGTAGCCTTGTGGTTAAGGTATTCACTTGTCATGCCGAAAGGGGGTAGCCTAGTGGTTAAAGCGTTTGCTCGTCACCCCGAAGACCCAGCTTCGATTCCCGACATGGGTACAATGTGTGAAGCCCATTTCTGGTGTCCCCCAACTTGATATTGCTGGAATATTGGTAAAAGCAACGTAAAACCACATGCACTCACTCATGCCGAAGGCCCTGGTTCGATTTTCGACAATGTCTGGAGACCCTTATACTGGTCATTGCTAGAATGTTGCTTGGGGCTGTGTCAAACCATACACAATCACTCATGAGATATCAGTACAGTTACTGTAATAGTCATGTTGAGGCGTTTGGCTGGCTTATTTATCTAATTCACTATGAAGAGTTGTGTCCCTTGTGTGTGCCAGAATCATGGGTTTTAATCTCAGATCCTGTTTGATTATGATTCTTGGTTGTCAACACCATACCACTGCTTGTGGGTTTCACCAAGGTGGTAAAACTTTGACTTACCTTCCTAATTGACTGAAATACTGACCAAAGTACCTTTGAACCCATCTCACTCATTCCTCTATCTTAAAGTGTGGGATTTGCGAAAAACGCTTTGTTGGAAAAGACCTTGGCCTTTATTCAAGGGATTTACAGTATGAATACCTATATATGTCTGTTCATGTTTGTTTGTTTGTTGTTTAACGCCCCACTCAGCAATATTCCAGCTATATGACAGTGGTCTGTAAATAATCGAGTCTTGAAAAGAGAATCCAGTGGTTGATATCATGAGCATTCATCCACGCAATTGGGATAAAATGACATGCATTAACCAAGTCAGCGAGCCTGACCATCCCATTCCGGTTTTACACCTCATTTAGCAATATATCAGCAATATCACGGTGGGGCACACCAGAAATAGGCTTCACACATTGTGCCCATGTGGGGAATCGAACTGGGGCTTTCAGCATGACGAGCGAACACTTATACCACATGGCTACCCCACCACCCCCTTCCAATCATGAGAGTGAGTGAATGTTGTTTTATGCAGCCATATCTGGGTCAGATAACTAGTGGTTGTCAGGCTGAGTAAAGTCTGTCAAGTTTTAACTCAAGTAACCAGATCAGACAGTGTGCAGATCCATTTATAAGTCTTGAATAACTTGGGATACTGTAGGTGTAATCTACCTCGGAGTGAGCAAGTATGTTTTTTATGCCGCTTTTAGCAATATTCCAGCAATATCACAGAGGGGACACCAGAAATAGGCTTCACACATTGTGCCCATAATGGGATTTGAACTCGCACCTTCGGCGTGACAAGCGAATGCTTAAGGTGAGGTGCGGTGAAATTTGGTTAATGTCGCATTCAAGATTATTGCACTTATATAGCGATGTGCATGCACATGTGTGTGTGTGTGGATGCTTGTACTTAGTCCGGACTGATGCCGATTTATAGTGCTAGCACACTGAGATACCATGCCGCAGTTTAATATGAATACGCTACTTAGACACAGTATACTGACTCTGAGCCGACCAGTCTTTGTTTTAGCCCCTTAATGCCGAGGGCCAAGCAGGGTAACAACAAGTATCATCTTTTAACGTCTATTGGTATGATGAGGTTGGGGATCAAACCCCGGACCTGCCGCTCTCAAGGCGGACGCTCAACCACTAGACCACAGAGGCGGTCAGCGAACCAGTAGGCTACCCCACCGCCCCTATTCTATCTTGGAATGCCAACTGGGACTATATGTGTGATCAACAATAATGGTTCTTTATTGACTCACTTCTTCATTCACTATAGGACTACTATGTCTGAGTGGGGTATTCATGTTAAACTGCGGCATGGTATCTCAGTGGGCTAGCACTATAAATCGGCATCAGTCCGGACTAGTACAAGCATCCACACACACACACGTGCATGCACATCGCAATATAAGTGCAATAATCTTGGACGCGACGTTAAACCCCATTTCACCTCATTCTCTATATTTTGAAAATAGGGTGGTGACCTAGTGTCGGAAGCATTGAGTCATCACAACAAAAGCTACGGTATGCCCAACATCGTTACTTTATAAATATACAATGAGGGGAGATGTTTTTTGTGTTTATGGCATCGTTTATTTCCTACATGAAATAGCAACACTATGTACATCCTTTTTGAGGATGTTTTGATTGTTACGAGCTTTAGAAATATTTTCCCATATTTAAATATTGATGATTTCCAGAATACAATCCGACCTCGGCAATGTCAAACAAGTTGATTTTATGAACAGGGGGTTAAGTTTACTATTTCCTGGATATTATCACAATTTTTATGTCAATTATTTGTACCTTTTCTCCCAGTACTGACTGTCATATCAATCCCAAATTTGGGTGCGATTGGTCAGCCATTGCATTTATCTACGTTGCCCAGCTACATCTATGGGGAATAACTTCCTTGACAATTCCCAATAAGAAATAACGTCTTTTACAACGTCAAGTTGCAATGATGTTTTATCATGAAACTAACCACGTCTTGTTCTTCATCGATCTTAGCGATTTAGCTATCTTATGTCGTGTTAGCTATAGATGTAGTGTATTGAACCCCTTTTTGATGTGCCACACCATTATATAGCTGGACCTATACCAAAAGCAGCACGAAACCCAACTCACTCTCTACTGAAAATGGGGCGGAAGGGTAGCCTTGTAGGTGAAGCGTTGGCTCGTCATGCTGACAGGCAGGCCCAAATGGGTGTGTATTAAATCATTCCTGGTGACCTGTGTTTGGATATGGCTGGAACTATGCTATAAGCTACCCAAGTCCCAACTCACTCACTAATGACATTTTTGTCTGGTATAGGGACGGTACTCCAATTCGACGTATGACCGCTTGTTCAAACAGGATGAAGGATATAACAACAAACTCCATCGGGATGACCGGGAACACGCCAAGTTAAGAGGACTCACAGTCAATGATGAGGTTTGATATTGTACTGGATAGAAATATAGAATACTAAACGAGCTCCTGTGTAATACCAATTTTATGAACCGAGTGAATAGCTGTGGTATCTCACGAGCGAAAGCGAGTCAGATACTACAACTATTCACGAGTTTCATAAAATTGGTTTTACACGGGAGCGAGTTTAGTATTTTATTTATTACTTGCCATTTATAACGTTTTTAGAATTATACTGTTGAATATGAATAAGCTGACACCTACACGATCCACGGCACAGTCCAATTGAGTTTAACAGAATAATATTTGAAACACGTCAAAAGTTGAAACGTATGAATTTAATACCATACAACGGTCCACCTTAAGAATTGAGACGTCCGTTCAACAAAATTATCGTAGGGCTAAGACTATCGCAACTCACATACTTTAACTTAGACTAACGACTGTCGTTGCGCTACGATCGCCTTATGGAACGGGCCTTGCACCTCATAGTTTACAATCACTTCACAATACCCGATGACGTAAATTGTGGAATTTTGTTGCAAGATCCATCGGCGAAACAATGCCATGTGACGTCAGCCTATCAACAAGGTTGCTGGGGTCATCGAGTGTGCATAAGCTCCTCTCAGTGATCCATCAACTCCACACGCAATGTCGTTGAATAAGCCAAGGGATGTTGAGAGCTTTCAATATTTGTTCGTGAAACATGTTCCTAGAGTACATAAGCACGTGTTTTGTTATTACACAATGTGTAATACAGCTGTATGTTTATTAAACGGGTGATCTCTTCAAGGGCAAGTAATAAATTAACCTAGAAAGTCTGCTTGCCCAGCTAGTGGTAGCATATATTATAGCTAAAATGGATAGAATTGTCATTAAACCGCCCGCAAGTTATCAGAAATGAGCGGGCCACTGTAACTTGATATTGCCCTCATATTGCTTGACGACGGGCCATTATCACACCCGTTGTTCGGTGATGTCATAGGATAGGGATAGGTGACGTCACGTTGAATAGTGACGTCATCTGGTTTGTTCTATGACGTTTCCATATTTGTAAAAATAGGTCAGTGACATTCGTGTTGATTGCAGTAAATGTTTCAAAACCGATATTGTTGTTTCTTTTTATTTGATAACAAATTCCATCCATTTTAGCTACAATAAGGGTAACACTATTTTTCAGGGCATTATCATTTGCAGAAGCCCTCAGTCTTTTCAACTGCCCTCCTTCGTCGGGCAGTTAACAGAAGACCTCAGGCTTCTGCAAATGATAATGCCCTGAAAAATAGCGTTACCCTTATAGGAACCGTTTAAGGATCCAGATTGGTTTACAGGGGTTCACACATCCCTTACACCAAACCATCATGTGTAATAAATACAACATGGCTGTCAATCATTTTGGTTTTTTTCATGAATATTATTTGCATTATTCTGACTATCCTAGCATGTGTGTAAAGTGTTTTCTGTTCATTTATTGACTTCAATTTAATGAGGTTATTTCTTAACCTTTCTGATAACTAGGATCTTATTAAACATTTTCAATTGATTTCAAGGAAAAGGAAAAGATAGTCCCTACTCTTTCATCTTCTGAATACGGACATCGGCTAAAAATCCATGTGGATCATCCAGACAGAGCACATGTTCGCATCGGGTATGTCAACTCGGAGTTCTATCGACGTAATGGAATCACATCCTGAGTTGGCTGTTGCTGCAGGTCCAGATGTTGGTGTCGCTGCAGGTGTAGATGCTGCCCGCATTGAAGAAACCCTATGTTGACTGAGATTTTATGTTCTGTGATACTGACTGAGTTACATGGTGTTTTAGTCTTCAAAAAGAAAACTGAAAATCTCTGAAATACGATATAAACATATATACAGCAAATGCCCGGGACCAAAAAAAGTTTGTTATATCCATCAGTTCGTTATAAGCGTATTCGTTATAAACATAGTTTACTGTTGATCTTATTTATCCATACCGGTTTGCCCCGATTATGTTTCTAGGTTTGTCAGCACCATACCCATGCTGGTGGGTTTCACCGAAGTGGTTAACGTCTGAGACCTGCATCACTTCGGGCTTTCCTCCCACATTAAGCTGACACGCCGTGATATAACTGTAATACTGTTAAAAGTGGCGTTAAACCCAACTCACTCACTCACTATTGATCCATATCATTCAGAGCCCAACTTATTGAGAGACATGATTGTGGATTTGATTTTAACATTGATTTTTTAGTGTTAAAAGTGACATGAAGACCTACATAACTAATTTTAAAGATACATCTGTGTCATGTGATTTGAGGGGGGCACGGGTGGCCCAGTCGTCTAAGGCGCCGCAATTCGCTGTGCAGAGTTGCGTCCCTTGGGCACGCCAGAAACCTATGATTGTGGGTTCGAATCCCGGTTCGCCCCGATTATGTTTCTAGGTTTGTCAGCACCATACCCGTGCTTGTGGGTTTCACCGAAGTGGTAAACGTGTGGGACCTGCATCACTTCGGGCTTTCCTTCCACATTAAGCTGACACGCCGTGATTTAACTGGAATACTGTTAAGCGTTGTTAAACTCAACTCACTCACTCACTCACGTGATTTGACAGTAACTGAATGTGACATGAGATCAAAAATTGGGTGCAGATGGTCCTTCCTTGACTTCATTGTTTCTCAGGTAGGCTTACAATTAAATAGTCAGGTACAAATAGCAGCAAATTATCTTTTTTCATGCCTTATCTAAAAGTGATGTTTCTGTTGTATTTGATGTAAAGCCAATGATATTCTTAGGATTCTTTTGGATCAGGTATTGGGAACTGCAGTGTTTGTTCAGACTTTGGATACACTATTGTTCCATGAACATTTTGTTGAACACACTTGAAGTAAACATGTTCTTCCCAACCTGGAGTCTTGCCCTACCGTGCTGCTCCTCGACCTCCCATGTATTCTCTAGATTTCAACTGCTGGTGTAAATAGTTATTTTGTAGTAATAAGGTTTGTTGGATGCAATGTACATTGTTTATTAATCTTCAAAATATGAACAAATGCTCTGTCATCCTATTCTTTTTAAAAGTCTTATTTAGTAATTTTATTTCAAGTTAACAATTTTGTCTCTCTTTTTGTTATGTATATTTTTCATATGTGATTTCATAAAGCTTTGTTTGCATCCCTGCGTGGGTGTTTTTAAACTTGGAATTGTGAACACATTGTTTAAACTTGAGTGATATACACATACTGTTATATACAAATCATTTCAGCATTAAGTGAATATTTTTATGCCAAATTATTTGTCTCGTTCAAGTTAATAATACAGCACTAAATACTGTCCATGTCGTGATGGGATGTCGGACATGTTATTCATTTGCAATAAAGTTGTTTGATTGCAACAGAATTTTGTGCTTTGTGTTTTCAGCAATGACATAAAAGATGACATGAAATGGGGTTTAACGTCTTGTTCAAGTTTATTGCATTTATACAGACGTGTGTGCATGTGCGTGTCTGTCTCCGTCTGTACTAAATCAGGTTTTATAGTGCTAGCCCAATGAGACGCCATCCTGCAACGGATACCCCTCACACATCCTTTTTCTTTTAAAATCCTGCGGTCATTACCCATAGTATTGGTTTGTCTTTTGCCAGATGTGAACAATGCAAGGTTTTATACCCCTCGTCACAACATTCCAGAAAGAAGACGTCACACATTGTACCAGTGTTGGAAATTGAACCCAGGCCTTTGGTGTGACAAGCAAACGCTTTGACCACTAGGTAACCACCAGTCCCCGATTCTCGGAATCATAAAGCCACATGGGGAATTGAACACAGGTCTGTCATCAGTGAATACGTTGACTCCCAGTGATTCATGTGATGATGGGATGCCATCTTCTGCAGTTGAGAGTAATGGCAAGTAATGGAGGACATGACATATAAAAATGTCAGGGTTTGTGTGCATACACACTGCCACACATGGTATGCAAGTTGGTTGGTTTGTTAACGCCGCACTCAGCAATATTCCAGCTATATGACGGCGGTCTGTAAATAATCGAGTCTGGACCAGACAATCCAGTGATTAATATCATGAGCATCGATCCACGCAATTGGGATCGATGACATGCATCAACCAAGTCAGCGAGCCTGACCACCCGATCCCGTTAGTCGCCTTTTACGACAAGCATAGTCACCTTTTACAGCAAGCATGGGTTGCTGAAGACCTATACTACCCCGGAATCTTCACAGATTGGGTATGCAAGTATAAGTACTCAACCATGTATACTACTCAAAAGAAGTTGAGGACCACTTGATTCTTTCATATAGCTAGTTAATCTGGCATGCCATGATGTATTAACTTAGTAATATGAAAGATTCAGGTGGTCCTTAACTTCTTTTGAGTAGTATATTTGGGCAGCTATATTCTATTCATCTATACATCCAGTTGTTTGAGCAACGGGCCAAGGTAATCATTGTGATCCACATTGCTAAAGTCAACAGCATAGGAAACTCCCCTTCTCATAACTCCTTTGAATAAGAGCTCTGTTTAAACTAATAAAGTGTCCTAAACATTTGTTCCCGTTCATTAGTGTAACACACTTTTAAATGTGGTTTTATTCATGAACATATTTGCTGTAAGTGGGGGCACCAAGAAAATGGAAAGTTTAATTCATCCTGCTGAAGTAGTCTCATTAGTCCAGTGTGTGCGTGCATGCATGCACGCTAGCCAGCTGACCAACTAAAATGCTCAACTATGATGGTAGAATTTGGGGGTTAATTTTCTTAATTCATTTTTCCTAATTGAAAAATCTGTTAACCATGTAACAAGTTATTCCTGTACTTACCTGTACATATTATATATGCTCTCTGCCTCATGGCATTCATTCACCTGATGGAGTAAGCACATACTCCAAAACGTTGTCATAATAAAGAAGTTGACATCCATATATTCTCTTCCTTAAGTTATTCTTGGATGAATAACTTTCAAAACAGTGGGCATTTCGAAAGAATATTGACTGAGCTATATTGCAGTTACATTAATTTGTACATCAACCCAAAGGGGATTCATAAATTCAACAGACCGGTGAAGATCCAGGGTAGAATAGGTCTTCAGCAAGCCATGCTTGCCGCAAAAGGTGACCATGCTTCTTGTAAGTGGTGACTTATGGGATTGGTTGTCAGGCTTACTGACTTAGTTGATGCATGTCATTGAATCCCAATTGCATGGATCGGTGCTCATGATGTCAATCAGTGGATTGTCTGTTTCAGACTCAATTATTTACAGACCGCCGTCATATGGCTGGAATATTGCTGAGTGCGGCGTTAAACAACAAACATAAATTGATCAGTGGGGCAGGCTTGGTGACCGGATTGATTGCATGTCATTCTATCCCAATGGCATCAGACTATCACTGGTTTGTCTTGTCCAGACTCAATAATGTTTGCCTCCTGTGATAGAGTTAAAACTTTCCTGACTGGTGAAAACTTGTAATTATATCTACACAAAATAGTTGATGATTGGTATGAAATACAATGGGAGTGAGTGAGTGAGTGAGTTGAGTTTAACAACGCTTTTAACAGTATTCCAGTTATATCGTGGCGTGTCAGCTTAATGTGGGAGGAAAGCCCGAAGTGATGCAGGTCCCACACGTTTACCACTTCGGTGAAACCCACGAGCACGGGAAACATAATCGGGGCGAACTGGGATTCGAACCCCCAATCATAGGTTTCTGGTGTGCCAAAGGGACGCAACTCTGCACAGCGAATCGCGGCGCCTTAGACGACTGGGCCACCCGTGCCCCCCTGAAATACAATGGACATAATTTATCCATCAAGTATCACAACCGAAGACTGTAGTTTCTCAGCATGAGCTGCTTCACCCAATAGTTTGTACTTAATTCAGTCATGTCACTGCATGTTGGGTTAACTGAAGGAAGTTGTGATTTTAAGGACATTGTAGAGAGGTTTTGGCCGGAGTGAAAGGTATGATTTTAATGACATTGCAGAGAGGTAGATGCAGCCAGAATACATTTCCTCCTGTAATATGCAGCAACCAGCCGACTTGTCTTGCATCAAAACACGGGGCTGTGTACTCGCGGGCAGATGACAACGGAGTGCGCTGATCACTGTGTCGGATTAATGAGACTGATTAATGAGTGATTTCGGTAACGGGTCTAAATAGCACTGATTTAATCGGTTCCCATCATTAGTGTCGGATAAAGCCGATTGTCAGATTAACGAGACTTGTCTGTACTTCAGTGAAGCACTACCATGGCCTGGTGCTTTCATCCTTGTCAGTTGAATGTGAATCAAAGAGCAAAGGGAAACAACTCTGCACGGCTAGATGTAACCTTTGGAATACTGATCCAACAAAGTACGTCCTTGCAAACTGACACCAAAAGTTCAATGCTTTCTAGGAGTTTGTATTTTAACTGCCTAGCCTCACCCCTTGTCCAAAAAGGGTGTATCCATGCTTGTTATAATGAACAAATTCCATATCAATCCACTTTGCAAAATCTACTTATTGAATATGATGATATTTAAAATAATTTGCATCCCATACCTAGTTTGTTGTTTAGTACAGCACTCAGCAATATTCCAGCTATATGACAGTGGTCTGTAAATAATCGGATCTGAACCAGACAATCCAGTGATTGACACCATGAGCATCAATCTACACAATTGGGATATGACGCACACCTAGTATTACACCTATTACTGAAATACAAAAATAGTTTATGCAAATAAATGTGGATATAATAACAGTTATAGAATTACAAACCTCAAGTTTAGTAATCGGATTCGAATTAGCATGGTACTTCCCTTTATAAAAAGGTTTCTAACCACCACAAATATCACGTTTTCGTGTCACATTAAACTGTATCACATTGCAAACAGTACTCATTGTCGTTTGTATCTCATTATCACAGGGTACTACATGGGGCTGATAAATTAATTTGTAATGGGCATGTTTCACTTTTATTCAAAGAATTTTGATCATGATTTTGTGATTAATTATTATCAAATAACAAAATCATTCCATTAGCATGATTCGTGATGTTGATGTTCTAGCGGGTTCAGGCGTGCTTACAAGAATATTAAAACCTTATTTGAAAGTTGTGTTGACTAAGAAGTAATTAGGAGACTAATAAAAAGGAAAGAAAACGGAATTAAGGTTTTTCTATTTTCATTTCACGATCATCAACTTCTTAACAACTGTTCAAACTTCACATTGTTACAAATTCCCAAAGCAAATGTCATTTGATGAACAAGGAATGTAATTTTAAGTCAACATTGCAATTTATTCAATTGACTAGGATCTTTAACATTCCTCTTGGAGGCATCCTGTTCAAAATAGTTGTACAAATAAATTGACAAGATTACATAAATTATGACACAAGAATCGACAATGAAAACATCTTAAAAGTCTAGTCCTAGGAACAAATGACGGATGACCAAGTACAATTTCTACCCTACTTGTATACACTTGTAATAAGTTGGAATAAATATCTAAAATATATGTGTTCAATGACACAGATGCAACAACTTCCATGACTCAAGGTATGGATTCAGAAAGAAATGTCTGTCCGAAGACAACAACATCCTGTACTTCTCCAGGTTAAACATAATGAGAGACAAGAATATCTAGTTTCAATTTCTCTCATTTCAACTTATTAACCATAGCTACTTTTACATGATGGATACTTTTCAAACAATGCATAGTTCTGACCCGAAGATATTCAATAAACCAGAGCGCTGCTCTCCTTCACTGCAGAATAGCATGTCACTAGGGAAACACCACCCTGGCCCCCAAGCTGACGGTATCCACGGCCTTAACAGCCACGTGTTGTGATAGACTGAGAATGTAGCCATTATATAGCCCATTATTCAATCTGATGTACTTTAAAAATAAATGGGACAAAATAAAAGTTTTCATTTTTAGTCCTCTGGACAAACCAATAGAGCATTGTGATTGTGATTGTGAATGGAACTGATGACAGTCCAACATTTGGTTTATGATAGAAATCACATTTTGTGATCAAGGTTTCAGATATATTTATGTTACATATTAATCTTATTTACATATCTGATCATGAACACCTGTACATGGTATATATACATACAAACATGTCTGTAGTTACAGTTCCCGATGCATACGTGGCAGGAAATCCAGCTACTTTAAGAATGGTGTTCCTGTCTTCATTTGCATAATTAAGCTTTAACTAATCATAAATATCTGTCATCCACATACCCAAACAGGCAAAATCCAACACCACCTAACAGGGTATTAATCCTGAAAATGATCAGTCGTCACGCTTTGTCAATCAGATTTTTGGTTTGTTGTTTAACGCCCCACTCAGCAATATATAGCTATATGACGGCAGTCTGTAAAAAATCGAGTCTGGACCCGACAATCCAGTGATTGGCATGAGCATCGATGTCATGCATCAACCAAGTCAGCGAGCCCGACCACCCGATCCTATCAGTCGCCTCTTACGACAAACATAGTCACCTTTTACGGCAAGCATGGGTTGCTGAAGGTCAATCAGAAAGCAAAAGGGGTGTCACAATTTATTGTAGTTACCAAGAGTATATATCAGCTAGTTCTTCTTACAACATATAGCAAAACCCTAAAAATGGCAAATTTCTTCTAGTCCTTATGATTCCTTAACAATAACTATTGGGCAGTTGGGCAAGGACTATAGACCTGTATATGCATTATTTTGGCTCCAGTTCAACACACACATTGAAGGTAAGAAACATAACAATTCAAGGCTACCACAGTGGCAGTTATACAAGGGTTAGAGAAAGAAAAGAGTAAAACTGCACCTGTGCACACATCTTCCCGAGGCAAGGGAGTTAACTGTAAAAGTCAAATTTCCACCCTTGCCAAACTAGGCTGCATTTATGGAGTTTCATTTCGGCTCGACTAATGAATGAATGCATGAATGCATAGCCCTATCAGAATTGTGCTATGTTATCGACATCCGGTTTGTAATTGCCGTGCAGATTTTGGTCATTTACAGGATTTGCAAAGTATGTGTACTGCCAACTCGGTGTCAACAGATATTTTCCAAATCTTCTCATGTTTCTATTCAAGGTGTTCACATGATTGGATTGACTTCACGAAGAAAGACCCTTAATATTACAAAAACGAATTGAAGCAAATACAAATGATATGATGAGAGTTGGAATCTGATTGGTCAAAAGGAGGGACATAGAAGGGGGATAACTTGTAATAGCCACTGGTGGCGCTACGATCAAGCCCAGAAATTCCAGCCCAGTTTGGCAAGAGTGGAAACTGGACTATTACAGTTAGGTAACTTGCTTGCCTTGCGAAGTTGCTGTGCACAAGTTACTTTCAATGTTTAGTCAGTTATTGTAATTTTGTAAGGTCTGGTTCAATATCAACATTTATAGAAGAACTGTCTGAAATCGAAACATCTAATATTGAAGTTTAGACAATAACGCCATGGTGAAAAATATCATGATACACATGTAATTGCTTGTTAAGAATGCTGATGCATATTGTACCATGAGGTAATTATTACAATGTGTATTTAACCAGGTAAGTATGATACATCATATTGCATGGAAAATAGAATGGCATTGCGTGGTACATGTGTGTGCTTGCTGTGACACCCCTTATATTACAGAACATGATATACTGATGGCAACAAGGAAACACATAATGATACAGAAGTGTCAAGTTTTATACTGTGCATTCAAGAACAAAATCTGATGCCAGTTCAATAAAACAGAACTATTTGTAGCTGGTGTTTTCAAGTGCTGTTGTAGCTGTTTCCACAAGCCAAGGGTACTCAAGAATCTCACTAGTGTCTTTTGATATCAAATATCTCAACAATCATCAAGATAAGTTTAAAACTCGGAGGCCTGCCAAGGAGTTTTAAACTTATGATGAGACAAAGGTGAAATTCCATTTATTGTCCAAAAACCATCCTTCCAACTTTTTCAGTTTGTAAACAATAACCAGTGTCTCAAGTGCAAGCAGTACAGCTAACCAGCTTTAGTGTCAAGGTGATAAGTCATGTTATTTGCTCTTGACAATGGACCACAAAGCATTGTGACGCAACCCCACTGTAGCTATAAAATATCTCCTGTGGAAGCCAGTTTTAAATATTTAAAAAAACCTCTTTTTCAGCACTTGCCAAAATAAATATTTCATTGATTCAATAATGAACTAATCTGACAGTTTTCTTTTGTCAAGTGCCTCATATTTTCCCTGATTTGTACACATGGATGACAAACGTTTTACATGTTGATATATGAACCACATTTAAAAAATGTAGGGGCATTCTCATATTGTAAATCAAGCACAAACATGCAAGACACAACAAGAACACCTCTCTAGTTTCTTCTTAAATGGCAAAAAAAAAAAAAAACTCAAGCTTCTGGTTACTTCCTTGAATATAAGTGTGAGTGTTGGTGTTATACAGTACCCAGTAGAACCTGCCACGTCAGCTAAACATGGGAGGAAAGTCCACAGTGTCCCAAGGCAGTAAACATTTACTTCAGTGAAACCAAAGACTTTCCTGCCTGCTCATTGTGTCCAACCAACAACCAACCACGGAGGGGAACAACTCGGTACAAATACTGTACTTGCCCAAAGGATGCTGGGCAGATTCCTGTGGGCAAGTGGTTCATGCTTTCCCTGCACAAGTTGACATCAGATGTGTTCCTGATTTGTGTTATCATTATTTGACTTCTAAAACTGCCCCTTAAAGACATGGAAACATATTGCCTTATGTCCATTTGAAATCTCAAAGAAAAAAGCTCATTTTCCCACCACACCCTAAACATGTCTGGATCAAATGTATGAATTACGTCTGCTCATCACAAAAGTTTCGAAATTCATCACAAACAAACATTAGCAAATTGAAGTAGTTTCCATCCATCCTGGTAATGACATACATCATATATTCCTATAGAATGGGTAATCAGGAAAAAAATATCTAAAAAGTGTTGAAACAGTTTCAATCTACCAAAACATTACTTCTTTCCAATATTGTATTATGCAGATCTTCCATGTTGTCGTCATAAGGCAGCAGTTTAATCAAATCGCAAGTAATAATCTGTATGGCATTCTTGATCCCACATTCAAACAAATAAGTACATGTAATGTTGAAAAAACAAGTAACAGGATGCTAAACAGACAGAGGTAAATGCGTTTGTCTGTCTGCAAAGGTACAATTGTTTGACCAGTTCAAAAACATTTGATTTTTCTCCATTTCAAGAATACACGAACCGTCACATTACCACCAACACAAAACTTGGTAGTTTTAAATATGTGTACGTTTGTACACTGGTCTCATTGTCTTGGTGAGCCTTGCTCATGGACATCAGTCCTTACTCTCCTCCCCTTTTCCCTTATCACTTTCCTTGTCCTTGCTTGTACTCGCACTTTCCTTGTCGTCACTTTTGCTTGCTTCTGTTTTAACGTCAGATGTCACAGTACTTTCCCCTTTCTCTGGCGATTTACTTTCCTTCTTGTCAGATGCAGATTCACTTTTCACCTTTTCTGTTGACGATTTTTTATCTACTTCAGATGTGATTTTACTCTCACTGGAACTGTTCATGTTTGGGCTTTTCTTACCTTCACCTATATCAACTTTGTTACCTGCAGACTCCCTTTTCTTATCTGCATTTTCCTCCTTCTCATCATCATCACTAAGCATCACAACTTCCTGAACCTGTACTGCTTTCCTGGCAGCACTTTTGTATTTCTTTGTCCTAACAGTTGACACAGCTGTAGCCTTCTCCCCTTTGTCTGTCTTCATCCTCTTGGTCGCAGGCTCGTCATCATCAGACAGTTCAATGGTTTCTGCGGTCATCTTTTGCGGTTTGGCAACGATGGGGTTCTTGATAAACTTTGCTGTTATCTTTGGATCTAACCTTTTTAACTTGATGGACAGCTTGCGAAGATGCTTATCTCGAATGTGTTTAACATGGTAGGCCGGATGGAAACCCTTCTCTTTGCAAATCTCGCAGTTTCGCAGGCCAGATGGAGACTCCAGGCATGTGTGCCGCAGCAGAGACTCTTTGTCTGCTACGACCATGCCACACTTCATACAGGTGTGGTGGACTCGCATGCAGTGCCGGGTCAAGTCAACATTGCGGCCAAAGTTGAGATTACACAGCACACATACACTTCCTTTGACCAGCTGGTTATCATTCTTGCCACTCTTTGGAGTCGTCTTGGGGTTGGTAGGCCTTGGCTTTGCTTGTGGTGGGGTATGGGCCGATGCATCAGGCTGCGAGCCAGACTTGACTACGACCCCATGCACTGCTGCCATATGGCTCTCCACAACACTCTTGTTGCTGCATTTGGTCCCACAGAAAATACATTTGCACTCTCTTAGGAAGTTCACAAAGGCTTTATTGTGCACAATCTTCATATGCATTAGTATGTTGGGTACTCTATGCAGACAGACGATGCATTTGCCAGCAACCCCTCCAGACGAATCTTCTTTGTGGACATCCAGATGTTTTTGCAGACCTTGTGCTGTCCAGAAACGGGCGAAGCATGTGGCACAATACAGTGGGGGGTGGACACGGTCAAACACACCATGTGGCATGTCAATCCGGTGAGCATAGAAGAAGTGGATTCTCAAAGCCGTCCGATCCTTCACATAGCCACCGCAGATCTCACAAACTTCAAAGCCAGAGTTTGGTTTGGATGCAGAAGAACCCTTGTCCAGGACATGGGTATTCATGCTGATGATGTTGTTAATCTTGGTAGAAACATTGGTGTTTGGGGGTCTGATGTATGTTACATTCGTTTTACCTTTCACTGCAAATTGCTGGGCATTTTGACCCCTGAACAAGTTCACATTTGGAGCGCCCGTTCCTCGAGCCTGGAACGCTGTCCGAGACTGTCCTTGTCCAAGTTTGGCCAGCAGAGCTGGATTCTTGAAGGCCTGAGTGTTGACCATGGGACCCTTGTTCATCTGACCGTATGGAATGGTCTTAACCACTTGGTTGCCGCTTTGTATCACCTGACCCTTTGGCATGATTGGTGTGACAGCTCTCTGTTGCTGCTGCTGCTGTTGTTGCTGCTGTTGCTGCTGCTGTAGGCGGTTCATGTTCATCAGCATTGGGTTCTTGTAGAATGTTTTCTCCAGGCAATAATTAATCTCAGGGCCAGGCATCCATGAAGGGTGGAGATTCAAATTCAGTTTGAAAGTCTTGATACATCTAAACTTGTGTTGTGTAAGCTTGTTTCGCAAGTTGTTTTCATATGGACAGAGATTGCACTCCCAGAAAGGTGGTTTCTCTACGAATCGAGCCTTCGTACTATGTTCAGCCTCCATGTGGAAGGTGAAGGCCGAGCTGTTGCGGGTTTCAAAATCACACCAAGCACAGCGTAAGTCGTTCTCTGTCATGTGTGGATGTTGCTTGTGCCAGAACATCACATTTTCAGATTCTGTCTGAAATCCACACTTGCACTTCTTTGACAAAGATAGTTTCACAGGTCCAACCTTTTCTCTAAGTTCTACATGAACTGATTTCAATTTATGGAAATCTTGCTTCTCTTTGTCAGTCAGCTTACCTTGGTTGCTCCTTCTATTCTGAATTCTTACCAAGTCACTGTAAACTGACTCCTTCACAAGATCTTGTCCAAAATCTCGTAGAAACTTTGCAACAGAGCCTAGCTCGGAATCAGCTTTCAGCTTAAAGTTCTTGGGTCTGTGATAGATACCTTGTTTCAGTTCCCACTTGACAAGCTCAATCATCTCGAAGCTATTACTGGGCGGACGAAGATCAACCTTATCGACCTTGCTCAACTGTTTGGAAGAAGTCACTGACGTCACAGCGCCTGACTTCTTAGAATTTGTGACCCCAACAATGGATATCCCTGGGGTGGTTTTAATGCTGCCTTTCTGTGCTGCAGTGGTGAGCATGGTGGACATGACAGCAGACGCAGACCCGGCCTGTAGCTGTGGGTATAGCACCACCCCTGCTGAGTTTAGAGTCAGACCCTGAAAGGATGTTTGTGGCTGGGACAGGATAACTGATCCACCACTTTGTGTAAGGATGGCATTTTGTACAGAGGGGATCACCATCCGAACAGTTGTCTGCTGATTGGGTAGTATACTGGCTCCAAGGAGGGACAGGGGCTGGCCGACATTGTAAGCAAGGGGCACTACCTGAGAGGCAGGTTTGAGAGCAGCTGCGGGAACACTTACGGACCTCTCAGTGGCCACCTTAGGTGGCTCTTCCTTCTTAGACTTCTTTTCAACGATCATGTCTTTGTAATCATCATCATCAGATGTTTCAGCTTCTTTGTAACCATTGGAAACAGATTTCCTTTTTCGTAGATTCTTAGGGGGAGAAGCTTCTGTTCCAGCTTTTTCAGTAGCTTCTGCAGTGGTCCCTTTACCAGAATCTTTACTGTCGCCTTTCTTTTCTTCTTCACCCTTAACAGCATCTGATTTCTCTTTCACAGGTTCAGCTTTGTTATCTCCCTTGGCCTCCCCTCCTTTATCAGTTATATCTCCATCTTCAGCAATAACTTCCACTTTATCCCCTTCTGTATCGGCTTTCTTCCCACTGTCGCCATCTGACACGATCTCCAAATCTGGATCGGGCTTTTTCACTTCATCTTTCACATCAGCACCACTCTCAGCATTGCTTTCATCCATCACAGTGGCACCATTTTGTGAGCCACTGTCACCTCCAGCAGCTGGTATCTTTTGGTCGCCACTGACGCCAGTCTTCTCAGTGTCATTGACGTTCTCACTATCAGCCTTCTCCAGTTTTTTAGCTTCAGATTTGGCAGCACTGCCTACCACTTCCATGTCACCTTCCTGGGAGTTGCCAGTGATCACGTCATCACCTGCCGTCTTCACACCTTTCTTGACCTGGACAGGATCGCAGTTTTCCACGTCCCCATTCTGGACAGGATTTTCAACCTTTGTCTCATCTTTGGCAGCATCCATCTGTAACACAAGTCATTCATTAGCTAAACACAATGTTATGGATGACATATTTTATCACTGTAAGAACTCTTCAACTGATCATTTCAGTGAGTTGTGTTTAATGCCACTTGAACAGAATTCCAGTCATATTTTGGCATGTCAATTTAATGTTGGGGGGGAAAGCCTGAAGTGATGCAGGTCTCAGACGTTTACCACTTTGGTGAAACCCACGAGAACAGGTATGGTGCTGACAAACCTAGAAACATAATCGGAGCGAACCAGGATTCGAACCCACAACCATGGCTTTCTGGCGTGCCCAAGGAACATAACTCTGCACAGTGAAAATAACTGGGCCACCTTTGCCCCGCCCCCGTATTATTTCAGATGAGAACTAAGCTTGAATACTGGCTGATCAGGTAGGTGATGACCTCTCAAGAAAAAAATATAGGACTAGTGGACCGACACTCAATCCACACATAAAAAGCTGTTTTCATTGAGGGTTAATGAGGTCACAAAAGACTTTGCATCAGGCAACCCACAAGACCATGCAAAATAGCTGACTGAAAAAATGATTCAATTTCTTTTTATATACACTCCCACATCACTCAGAATATGCAAAATTGCCTTTCAAATGGATATTAGGTATTAAAGACTATGTGTTGTAAGAAAAATATTCAATTTGTAACCTTTGAATTGAGTAAGGTTTAACTTAAAGTTAGTAATTATGGTTTGAGCCCAATCAAAATGCAGAATAATATACAATAGTGAGAATATTGATCTGTATGAGTGTACAATGCCCAATAGTGAACCAGAGCACACAAGTAAAAGCAGGTGATACCCTCCATTTCAGTGGTGCCACAAACATGCATTGAGAGGTGACAATAAGGGGAGATAATATAGGTGTTCTTAATTATTTCCCCTTGCACATGAACAGCTCCTCAGGAAATACAAAGTCGGGAAACTCAGACTATCACTGACAAGTGAGTGAGTTCAGTTTAACACAGCTTTGAAAAGTATTCAAGTATTCGCGGCATGTCAGCTTAATGTGGAAGAAAAACCCGAAGTGATACAGGTCTCAGACGTTTACCACTTTGGTGAAACCCATGAGTATGGGTATGATTTCTGACAAACATAGAAACATAATCAGGGCAAACTGGGATTTGAACCCACAATCACAGGTTTCGGTAATGATCAGGGGAAGCAACTCCACACAGCGAATTTGCGTCGCCTTTAACAACTGGCTACTCATGCTTACCCCCACCCCACCCACCCCGAGACGAGTTTGCTATACTGGTATCAGTATTATTACATGATCCTTGTATGAAGAAGGGATAGTCCCACGCCACTACTTTACAAGGTCATGTTTTTCACACAAGAATAATATTTGTAATTAACACCTCCGACCTATCATGATCCCTCCTCTGGAATTCACACTCATAACAACTGACTACGGTTATATCAGCGTTAGAAAGTGGCACTAGTCCTTGCCAGACTGTCCAATAGTTAAGGTATCAGAAGGACTAGTAGAAATTTGCCGTTTTTAAGGGTTTTGCTGTATGTTATCATTATGAGGACTAGGGGACTAAAACTGTCAGTTTCCATCGCTGTATATAGTGTTTGTAATTATGGGGGAATCCTGGAATCCATGTAAGGACTCCCTAAATCGTAATTTGCAAAATGAGGGTTATGACAAAAGACACCTTGGCTTTCATGCTTAATTTTCAACAGTCATATTTGTGCCAGTTCTGCGTTACCTATAACCATATTGATGACACTTCTGGATAACAATATTCACACATTATTTGAAATTTAATTTACATGATGCTATTCAGCTGTATGCAAGCTAGCAATCTTAGTATATCACATATCCCATCTCCTATTAATGTTAATACAAATCAAACAGCTGGTCTAGGTTCTCTGTAGTCATACTCTTGTCTCGACTCCATATAAATTATCTTATCAGCATGATTTTACTGACCATCCTGCAATGCACATGTCACTGTGTGTGTGTGTCTGGACTAAAGTTGGTTTTATAGTGCTAGCCCACTGAGATACCATGCTCCAGCTTAACAAGAATATCCCACTCTGACACAGTGTATGTCTTATCCCCTAATAACAAGCACCAGGCATGTACACAAACTGTACAAACTTAACATTTTTAGTCTTCAAGCCCTTATAGGGATAACACATAGCAAAACCCTCTAAATTGGCAAATTTTTACTAGTCCTTATGATAATCTAACAATTTGGCAGTTTGACAAGGACTATAAGACTAGTGCCAATCTCTTAACACTGCAACTGGCACCATCTTTAATTTAGTATAGTGCATCTTCCTGAGGCAAGGGCGTTAATTGACTATAAAAGTTCAGTTTCCACCCTTGGTGAACTAGGATGGAATTTCTAGGCTCAATCGTAGCCCCACTGGTGGCTATAACGAGTTATGTCCCTTCTATGTACCTCCTACTGACCAGTCAGATTCCATCTCTCATATCTCTTGCATTTGCTTCAGACAAAACAGCAGCGCCCAGTTAAGTTCTGCTCGATAGTAAAGATCTGTGTTGTAATAAAACAGGTCTTACCCCGCCAAGTGCATCACATCACACAAGCACCTTGATTAAAAACATGAAGGAATTTGTAAAATATCTGTCAACGCCCAGTTGGCGGTACACATGCTCTGCAAATCCTGCAGTCAACTTAAATCAGCACGCTGAATTCCATGTTGTTTATGAACCGGAAGTCTAGTTCAATACGCGATTTTGATTAGACTATGCATAGACTCGTTAGTCCAGCCAAAATGTAACTCCATAATTGCAGCCTAGTTCGGCAAGGGTGGAAACTGGACTTTAACAGTCAGTTAACTTCCATAACTCGGGAAGATGGGTATAACGTGGCCAGGGATCAAACCACAGATCTTCCATAATCTTACTATCCATTAGACCAGGGAGGAAGTTGTGACACTGGAAACTTATGAAACTCATTTTGCAATTTTTTTATTAATTCATGGATACAAATATGTCATGGTTAGCCCTCCCACTGCACCCTCAGTTCCAAATTCAATTTAGCACAGATAAATCCACAAAGGGATTTATCTTGACCTTCCAGAGGCCCACAGACAGCAGCAAGTGTCAGAAAGAACTCCAAACTTGGAACAATGAATTTCCCGGTTCTTGTTAATAATAAGACTTTATACTCAGTTTACATTATTGCATTGAACGCAATTATAAATACATCTGAATTAACGAAAATAATCATTAACAATCCAAAGCCTGAAAAAAGGAATTATTAAAATTATTCAAATTTAGTTCAGAATCCGAAATAAATCTCTGCTACAAATTACCTGGCTCTGTATTGATTACAAATGCATGTTTATCTCATATGATAATAACCATATGCTTTTTCAAGCAACTGGAATTGTCTTGGGTAAACCCACAGCTCAGCTGTCCAATCCCTCCCCACCTGACTGATCACTTGATTGTCAACCCCACCTGACTGATCAGTTGGTAACCCCACCCTCATTGTCAGAATAGATAACTCCCAATAGACATCAAATAGAATTACATAACTGAGATATGCTTTGGGGGAAAGACTTCAGCCGGTTTCCCCCCCTCCAAAAGTTATATATGTATGCATTGCCGCTCAATCCTTTCAATGATATATATATTTGAGGGGGGAATATAGGCGGAAGTTTTACCAAGGCTTGCCTCATGGCCACCAAAGTTTATGATGTCGGTATTATTTAATTATACTACCGATAGCCATACTAAAATACATTTCCCAGTTTCTATTTCATAAGAATAAAAACGTGACCAGTGTAAAACACGCTAATTTGATCAAATCTTGTTCCTGAGAGAGAATATACAAACAATATTTCTAGATGAAAATCCCCCATGAAATGTTGAGTTTTCTTTGATCAGTCATTGTTGCACGCAATCTTCAGCGGGAATGTTAAAAAAAAATCCGCTATCACTACATTACAAATACTATTATCAAAATACTAAAACAGTCAAAAAGGAAAAATCAATCAAGTTTTAAAAATTAGCATTAAACTTGAATATTAAGACTTTATGATAATCATATTCAATATTTCACATTCGTGTTAAATACTGTGGTGCCGCGAAAAATACCTAGATCTACCAACCTACACGAAATTCAAAAACTATATTTAACCGCAACATAAGAAGACAAACATGTGGCAATGATGATATGTTTAAATTAATCAGAATATAGTTGTTTCAAAATAATATGATTATCTTAGTCCAGCACATGTTCAATATCAGCGACCTGAATGAGTCTCGTCCGTGTGTGCACTTCCTTCTCGACTAGAAAACAATGCCCTAATTCACAAACCCGCAGAAACATTACTTCTAGTTGCTAATTGAACAATGCTTCCAAGACTAATCTTGATATTCTATTTCATTTGTATTTAATATTTGTTAAACTAATCACATAAACGACACGCCAAGTCGCGTTATTGTAGGGGCCGGCGGAAGACATTTCTCAACATGGCTCGGTTATCCGCCTTTCAGGGAAAAGGCGCGCGCCGCGAAGCTTTGCTGTGTTCATAGCTACCGCTGAATATGTGTTATATTACCCCAATCATATACATTGGGACTTCATAGAGCCTATTTATACACTTATTTCTAACAATTGGTCGGATATATGTGAATACTCACTTTTCAAGTCAGTGATGTGAGTGTGTAGGTGATTTTACAGCTCCGTACACCGATCCGCCATTCGGTTCAGGAATCAACCATGATACTCTCCCGCATTACGACAATCTATCATGGCGGCCAACTGGTCACGTGGTACAGTTCGCCCCACTAGCTACGTCATACCCGGCATGCATAATATGGTATTTCGACCAATCACGGTTCTTCTGTACCACCACGCAGACGCACACGTTTTGTTACCAAAAATAGCCTACAGTCGGGCAAAGTAAGATGGCCGCCATAACCCGGCCGTCCTCATTTACATATTCGTGACGTCACAAACCCGAGCCTATCAGCGTCAAACGTGTGGGTGAAGGCCAAAATGGCCGCCGTAGCCGTTTTCACGTTCCGCACACGCCAAAATCCACCTGGACGGCGCAATAAGGCGTATCTAATTGGTTTGACGTCAGACTGAAAGACGTAAACCAGAAATTCACGTCAACCTGCGAAGCCTCTATCATTTATTCAACAACGTATGGTAACGTTGCAGAAAAATATCCACGCGAAACGACGTCAAGGCAAATGAACGTCAACCAGTGTGTGCTGAGAGACTTAAATGTTATGAATTACGGTACGAATTTAACGTAAACCTCTTTCAAGCAGAGATACGGCTTTCGGGCGCGTAGTGGTTTATCGACGTAGTCTAATTTCTTTGTTCAGTGAATTTAATTGATATCAATAATCATCGTGCCACACATTAACACATTCAAACACTCCCGCCAGAGAACTTAGAACGGATACAACACTGCTGGTGAACTCAATAGACAGACCAGACAGAAGACATCACAGAGGCGGATTGTTCTAACATCCGTGCATGTGGTTCCTAACGCCTCACCTCGGTTGCCACGCTACTGCAAAAGTGCGTTGACGATGACATTGCAAGAAACCAAGAATAGATAGGGTCAAAATCACGTGCAAAGATTTCTCATGCCGACCTCTTTGGCTTGGAATTCTGAAACAGTTCCTCTGAGCTTGTTTTCGCACATCAATGTATTATCATAAGACTCTACTGATCACACAGGCGACTGCAGATGTGCGATGCCTTGTCTGAAAAGGGGAGGAGAATGCATGACACTGCCTGCACATTGGCAGAGACCATATACCGATATATGGTCGCTGACATGGGGTTGGTTTCTACGCCTCTCACGTGCCTACGGCAAAATTTGGGACCACCAGTCACCGAAGTGTTGACCATCTCTAAGGTAGGTACATTATATACGTCTGTCAGTGGGGCTTACGGTTAGAATAGGAACCCTACCAACCTATGCTGGTCGTAAGATTCGACCAGGTGGATCGCGTGATCAGAGTCCACCCTTCCCTAATTGCCTGTCACCGTACGACGTGAATCTTTGCTTACAATGTCAATTACTGTATTGTTTGCGTGGTCCAGACTTGATTATTTACAGGCCGTCGTCTTTAAACAACAAACAAGAAACGTATATGGTTTAACAAACTAAAATTAAAGCGCCAAAATCCATTTAATTGAAACAAGAAATCGCTGAAATCCATTGTACGATTCCGACTATATCATGAGCATGTGTTTATGAATCACTATCAAATAGTGTCGTTAGCAGATGTTCGCGAAAAGGTAAGCGTGTCCTGCCCCGCCGGTGGCACCCGTCACTAACATGCAAAGCAAGTCAATAACAAACGCGATTGTCTTATATACACACTTACCGTCATGGTTGTAGACATAAGACGCGGTTAGAACCGTTATCCGACACGTGACAGGATGGCACAGCGCCCAACGGTGTTACATGATAAATATATGGGACACAATACCGGTTCTGAAATACTCGTTGTTTGGATGTGCAAAGCGTCTTTCGGTATAGTGACTAAAGCAGCGCGGGGCCGTTCTCCAGTATCTAGAACGTCTTGACCTATAATGCAACCGGCATCAAGCAGTTTCATTTCTCTTATATTTGAAAAGGACAGGTTTCGATTTGTTTTTAAGGTTCAGTATATTCTAGGGACTAAAGTTGGGGTTTATCAAATGAAACTTCGTTAACTTGAATTCATTTATTCAACTCGACATAGTGTTTAAGAAGGTGTAATTAATGTCGTAATCACAGCATTAATTTTCATCAGTACTGCACTGTTAGACGAACGCGTAGCCGCTGGAAATTAGGGCTTGGACGAGTCAAAATTTACTACCCGGGTACCCACCCCCTATTACCCGACCCTACCCGGGTACCCGCTGTAGATCTCAAGAGATAGGTCAAAAAGTCCGATTAGGAATAAGTTGACCGTAGCCTTGGTAAAATATATTAAGATACTCGTATATTGTTATGCATTCACTGACGTTTTATCTCCATTCAAACATATAGAGTCAGAAGGAATGCTTGCACAGTCAGAAAGATATGTGAACATTAGTCATTTATAGTGTAACCGTGGAAGTTATAGATATTTTTTGCCATTAAACAATATATTACGTGACTAACCACGGATCCGGGTAGTTCTGTGGGTATCCGGGTCCCACTCAGGAACCACCCGACCCGAGTACCCCAGTTACCCGCCCCAGCTCTACTGGAAATGTACAATTTTGACAGAAACATATACATATATACATATATAAAATGAAAAGGATCCCGAACCAGTGGAAAATATATAGACTTGCTTCATTTGGGGTTAGCTTATTACAATAAGGTCTGGGCGAAAGTGAAAATGACACGGTTCAGGGACTGTGAGACAGTCTACTGCACTGTATTAACAGAGAGGGCGCTTGACACGTTCATTTAGAGACACATGCATATTGTTCAATATGTTATAATGTTGCTGTCATAAGTACTTCTCAGCGATTTTACAACTGAACGCTCGTATATAGTTAATCAAAACCTGCATTCCACAAAAAGTGAGCCCTGTATTTTCATTATACATTTATATGATATTATTTTGTACCTTCAGATATAACTGGTCGGGAGCCAATCTCATTAAAATCATATCTTCGTTCTCGGTACCGCTAAACAAACGTTATCGAGAACTAAGATATGATTTTAATGAGATTGGTCGGGATCCAAACGAGCGGGTTCACAGCATACAGAACGAGACAAGAAATATGTCTGATGCTGGTGTCTCCGGCAGACCCACAAAACACGTCTTAAAAACACAATACACCCTACAAGAACGATACCCATCTCTTTCAGGGTGCCGTTGTATAAAGGGATCGTAACTCCCATACTAGTCTGTCTTACAGACCCTGATACAAATATATCAAATACAGCCCATGCAAGTCTATAATGTTTGGCAAGTCTCGATTACTGTAGTATCAGGAAAATGAAGAGAGTCTCTGGACTCCTTTTTATTATATTTTTATTAAGATAATTTAACATTTCTTTCTGTACGATATGTTTATTTCAGAGACTAGATGTTAGTTTATTCCGTACCCTAACATAGACTTACGACAGTCTTAGTGCTAAAGTTGTTTTGTACAACGGTACCCTGGTCAGTTTCATTAAGGCCCTAATCATAATCAGTGATGCGAAAACATAACGCACATATTTATCGATTTAGTTTTATCTAATAGTATATTTTACTAAAAGCCTAGGCAAGTCTCGATCAAACTAAACCAAGTCTATGAAAACAACAGAAGAGCAAATTCTCTTTTGAAACAAAAGAAATACAACTATTTAAAGAAATGTTTGCATAGACGAGGTATTAGCCTAACGTGTTAGCAGTATCAACCATAAGTCGGCAGTAGGCCATGTCCCAGTTCTTGAAAATACACAACCATACCAGCGAATTGCCAAGGCTATACTGTCTATAGGTATGCAGTGTAGTGTACTCTCATGTGGAATCCTATGTACAGATTTGTACAGTCTTATTCAGATTAACGGGGCGCTCTTTACTTTGTTCGAATTCAGGTTGTTTGAACCTACTGAGGACGATTGGTTTGCGTAAGCAATACTGGTAAAGACCTATATAAACTAGTACCTTCCTATACGATATTGAGACGTTTGATGGCCGCGAGGGTGGAACTGCTCAGGCAGCCTTCTAAAATATAAAAGTGAAATTCCGAGAATGACAAACTAGAAAGCACTTCATCTCTCTGAGCGTGAAAGTAGGTCATGCCGGCTTATTGAATGAGAATGTCTGCATGGTCGACAAGACTAAAATATTTTCATGCATGTATATGTAATGTCTTTCTTAATCCGCTCCCGCCACCCTAACCTATTTCCGATTGGCCATTGGACTACAAAAATGCTATGTATATAGATAATGACTCTGAAAAAATGAAATAATCGATATTTTATCGTCTTCATTTCCCTGATGTTTGGCTATGTCGCGTAGTCTTGAAGCAATCTGAAACTGGAGGCTTTCCTGAAGCGAGTATACTGGTTCCACACAATGGTTAACGGTCATATGTTGGGTGATAGTTATTGGGGGTATAACAGAGTAGCCCGATCTGTATTCTAACCCTGAAAATCATGTCTGTTCACAGCTAATACATTGGACTTGTTTCGGAACATATCTCAGCTCGTCGAGACCCGGATGTGAAGTACGCGGTCAAACGGTGCACTGTGCTCCTATGGGCGAAACGTCCGCGCCCAACACTAAATGGAAAACGTGCTTTTCAATGTATGTAAAAGTCGATGAGTCACCACCCCATTGCTATTCGCTTTTATATTTAAACAGTTACAAGCATGCGGGTGTGTTATTTCGTTTCGATGTCATACAATGAATGACCCCCACAGGGACAAAAATGCCGTATTGGATCAAGCGCCAGGATCATTGAGCGCATCTAGGGCTGTACATGTATATAGGATAATATATAACATGTATACATGACTTACATTTGTCACACATACCATTTTAATTAAAACAAATGTATGAAACAGTTATTCTGAATGTCATAATCAGATCACACATGTCCCCTGTATCTAATATTATGCATGAAAATAACACCGCCGCTTTTAGCATATACTGCATGTCGGCTGGCTAAAAAAAAGAATTCTTTGGCCTGATTAGGCTGATGAATATTCATATCATACGTCTGCGCTCGTTTTTCCTTTGTGTTTCTATGGATACAGTCTCGGTCATTTTTCAGTTGCCGTACATATCAAGGCCATCTGTTCTTTTACACCTGGACAGCCGGAGATGCGGCACTTCTGTATCATGTATATTGATTCTGTGCTGAATCCGTGTGCGCAGTCTAGACTGCAGCCACCGCACCATGTATACAAACAGTATACAGACACTAG